TAACGGTTTCGAAAGAGCAATCTTTTGCCGCTAAACGTAAAGCTCTTACGTAGTCAGAGATGTTTTCATCCGCACGTTGTTTCCGGTTAAAAAGAATATGCCTGGCTAGAATTATATTTTTAGGTTTAATATAAATACCTTCTAAAGCTGCAATTGAGGCTTCGTAAGTTTCGCAAGTTTTGATATGTTTGTAGATTGAAGCTGATAGGTGATTTACTAAGAGCTTGCGTCTTAATGCATCTGGTATTAAATCAGTTTTTACTTCTTCATTCAAAAAACTTTCGAACGTTGACCTCCAGTGCTGCCATTGTGCATCCGCTTCTGCAGCATCAGGTTCGACATCAAATTTGTCAGGACGTAAATACCTCGTGATAGGAAAACTAGTTGACGATGGGTTTTCGTTAATCATTATTTTAAGCTAATAAAATTGATATAATATTTGTAACCACTGGAAATATGGCTTTTATTAGCTTAAAGAAATCAACTAGACAATTAAATTAACTTTGACAATAACGATAAATGACTATCAAATGATAACTAGATAAAATATCATATCACTACGATTCATAAAAGTGAGGCTTGCTTATGGGGAATTATCAGGAAAAAAATTAATAATATGGCAACATATGATAATTTTAAAGTATATGCCGGGTGTTCTATTTTAAAAACTCAGTTATTTATTTACACTGTAAAAACCCTGTACATTCAAAAATAATTTCTATAGATACGCAACCATATCACATTTGCACAAAAGGATTTTATATATTTTTTACCAGGTATGAGCTAGGAAAGACTGACGCACTATTGCAGGACCCTCTATATGTTATATACGATGTTAAATATGTATTATACGCTGTGTAGAAGGTAAGGAGTCTATCATCGGGATCTCTGAAACCATGGAATAGAGGATACGACAATGGTCAAATTATAGAAAAGATGCGCAGTTAAAAGAATTATTATCATGCTTTAAAGAAAACTAGAAAATTCCGATTACTTCCGAAGGTATGCCAGAAAAACGAAATTTGCGGATTTTGTTTTTGTTTTCTAATGTACGTATTTGAACAGAGAAAAATAAAAAACACTTCTTCATTGCCACTTTTTGAGTTCCCTAAGATAGCGTTGAGATATTTCATTCAAAAAATAAAAATGGTTTGATTTCGTTAAAATTTTGCAAATTGCATAAGGGATATAAAACTGTCAAAAACGTTTTTTTAAATACATATCTTGGTTTGAGCTAGAAAATCGTTTTTTCAAGAATTTGGTACCTGGGTTATTACCTATTTGATTGTAACATTGTATATTTTAATTATAAACAAGTGAAGACGCTTTAGAATGAGGTTTTTAACAAATAAAACTTGAAGAGTAACACTTCAAATTCTCGGATTCCACAGGGCTGAGGGCTCCATACTGTGCCCTTTCATTTACACTATACACACTGATAACTTACCAAACTGTATAAATACTTGTAAAGATTACTTAATTATGTGCAGGTTCATTCCTACCATTTGACTTACCAGAGATTTAAATAGCTTTTTTGAGACATCCAAAAAAATACTCCCTGATCAGAGTTGGAGTACCTAACTAGATACTTAAAAACAAACAAAGAATACTCTTGGCTTTCGAGTTGTTGAGTGGATGGTCCAGATTCCATCAACCTGAAAACCATCTTTTCAATATTGAACGTCTTACTCTGCCTCAACATAATCTCTTTGATGAATCTAACTCATAGAAATTGTTCGATGGGCTATTGCACTGCGAGTCGAATATGGTATCGCGTTTCACAACAATATCCTCAATTGCTGCCACATTGTCACACATACATATTAGGTTCCGCCACATTCGTTTTCAGCTATTTTTCGATGCCTTTGTCCTCCAATGCTAATTGCACGCGGAAATACAATTAGGTACTGAATTCACGGCCATCGAAACACAAATTTTTCATCGTCTGCCTCTGACATTTGACTGCAGAAGTCGCTAATGTCAGGCTGTCATCTGTCATGATACTATTTTTTGTAGGAATATCATAGCACCTGTACTTCAAATTTGTCAACCAGTGACGTTTATAGAAGCGCGGGAATGCGCGTGAGCATATCTATTACCGGAAACACGTGAAATTTGACGCAAAATGGCGGCCGATCTCAACGACCAATCAAAAATTAGACACTCTATTGTCGCCACTGTCTCTATAAAGTCACACTGTGGCACACACCATTTGCGCATGCGCGTTCTACGTTCTTGTAGATTAACAATATGTATACCAAATTTGATTCCAATCGGTTCAGCCTTACCGGAAATGAGAGTTTGACATACTTGCCCATGCGCGATTCTTTTCATATCTAACAATATACATATGTACGAAATTTGGTTCAGCCGATTAGCCGAAAATGAGAGTACAGACAGGTCATCATCGAGATTTTGTTTGATTCGAAATTCTGGTGCTTCAAAACGTGTACCTATTTCCGTCAAAAAAGTGAGGGGTCATTTTTTTACCTCTGCTAACGTGCTGGTGGTAAAAAGTGATACAAGGTACGACTAAGTAAATACGCTATTTAGCACTAACCAAGCAATAGTGTACTAAATGTAAGTATTGTGGTAAAGTCATTACGGATGCAGAAATCAAGTGCGTACCAACATATTCATAAACTCATGAATATACAACTTTTTATCATTTTTAATTTTCACTATGGAGATCTCGTAAACCGTAAAGGCCGGTTCAGACGCTACGTTTTGCACAACGTTTTGTCCTGCGCAGTCTTAAGACGGAATGAAAACGTAATTGCAATTTTAGAGCGTTCACATGGATGGTGCAGAGATATCTGTATATTTCGCCCAGTTTTTGGCATCATCATGGAGGAGGTACTACTTTGGTCAATTTTTGCATGCTGTCTTGTTAAGAAAAATAAAAGATTGGAACGTCTCAGAAGTATCCGGCGTTCAAAGTGGTCGCGGAAATGGCTTCTAAAAAGGCAGCACTTTTCCCATTCTAAATTACTGCGTGAATTACGTGACGAACCTAATAATTGGCGGACCTACTTGAGGATGGATAGACACGTATATACTTATTTGTTGGAATTAGTGACACCGCATATCAGGTCAGACATTGTCGCTGGTACTGACATACACCAAACACTACACAAACAAACAAAATGTCGGAAAACAGAGCTACCGTCTACACAGCGGCGACTTGTCCGCGCATTTTAAAGATATCTATACTCTCTAGCTCAGTTATCGCTGCAACTGTAACGTCTTCGCGCTGATTTCAAAACTGCGCATTTTTCCTATACACACGTAACGTTTTATCTGCAACGTGTTGAACTGTAAAGACAAAACGTTGTGCAAAACGTAGCGTCTGGAACGGCCTAAGAGAGACAAGGTAGCATAAATTGGGAAAGTGATACAAAGAAGCGTGACCCACGGGGTCAATTGGATTTGACCCATTTTCAATAGGCTTATTACTTGTGGTATAGGTATAGGTCAACTATGCAAAGTTTGAACCAAATCGGTCCGAGCGTTTGACAGTTGTCGTGTTCAAAAACGTTTTTCCCATGTTAATTCCCTATGTTCGGTTTTGGAATATCTCGCCCCTCTGTTGATAACAGTTTTACTGTGTACCTATCCTTAATTACCAAATCTACTATCCAACAGGCGTCGTTCAATCGTCCTCTGTGTGTGTGTGGGGGGGTTACATATTAATAAAGGTCATTATTTAGAATCTCATTTAGGCGCCAAACAGCCAAGGTGAGGATTCAATTGGCCACTAAGACTTCTCCAAACCTCTCTAATACCCTTATATGGGGGTCTCATATGCGTTGTTTTTTGGTGGTACCGAATACCTTTGTTCTAGTTGCCACTTCATTGTTAGAATAAATGTACGATAAGGATAAGGAACCAGGATATTGAATTTCAGTCGGTCAGTGGGTGCGGCAAACATGAATTAGCCTACTGCCTGCACATTTCTAAATCCATCACTGCAACTATAGCTTTCTGTAGTGACTTCTTGTGACCATTTTAAAACTACTTTCGGTTACCCAACTACCGAAATTGATTTTTTTTCGATTAACAGTCACAGATACTAAAGATCACTTTGCAGATACCAAAAAATTACAAGCTAAATAAATCACAAAATTAAATTCTTGTTTCACAATCTCAAATCAAATCAAAAAACGTTTATTGTTTAGGGGGAAGGTTGACAATAAGTTGGGGAGTATTGTACATAGAATCTACCATAATGGCGCACCAAAATTTCACGGATAGAAACTGGAAATGACCCCTAAAAAAGCAACACCCTGTAGATTCTCACTACCATTGACATGGCCAATAATGTAAGCCCTTCAGAGTAACTTATATTTCAAATTTCAAAACATACCAAAAACTGCAGGAGATATGAAGAAAAAACTTAATAAAATCTTGAAATTTCAACACCCTGTATATGTAATACTTTCTGTCTAATGCTGTATGACGAGCGATCAAAAATGAGTTGCCTTTGGAAATTCAAGTTGAGTACGATTTACCTAGTTAACAAAAATTCCAAAGGCTCGACAGCAACTCATTTTTGACCACATGGTATTAGACTTCAGGTCTTCTTTATACATCTAAACAAGGTACCCAATGCATCGATTGCTGAATATCTGCCAATGGTCGTCTACTAAACTATAGGTATATTTTATTATAACACACGGTTTGTGGAAATTATGTAGTTTCTGTGCAACACGCAAGCATGGAAATGTCCATTACCCTTGGGTGACATTTAAATATGTTAATCGAACGAAAACTTGCTATTTAAAGTTCCTCGTTCATCAGTTATGCAATTTGTGTCAACCACAGCTACGGGAACAAATTTTAATTAAATTACCAAGCGCCACATATATACCATGTGGTGAAGCATTTGTGAAATTAATTCTATTCCATGTAAGAAAAAGCTGCCTGAAAATAATCATGGCTCTGTAGTAACATTCTTATTCAAAGGTAGTAGTCGGCTTTTAATAAATGAAAATAACAACTATTTTCTGATAGTATACTCTCCCGAATATATATTTGTAAGTTTTAAGTAGCTTGTAGAAAACATTTGATAACAACTAATTTTCAATACAAAACTGTTTAAAAATATTATAAAAAGCAAATGAAATGCACAGCATAGAACTTCTGACTTAAATTACAACTCTCAGCCCAATCATTCACTCTTTGGTTTATCGCCGCCACCACCACTATCGCCTGTGCGTGCAGTCACATTCGCACTGGTTCCACTCGAATCTTCCTCATCCTCGTCATCGGAATAATTTCGTGGTTCCTCTCCAGGTTTCAAAAGCCGGCCGACCAAATCGTATTTTTCTAAAATATTAAGTGCTATGTTATTATTAACCGCCTTACCGATAAGACTTATCTTTCATATCAACGGAAAGCTTCAATTCTATTGGCCAAATGATTACAATGATAACCAATAGAACGAAACAAGTATAACGCAAGTCATGATTGTAATTAGTTGCCGCAATAAAATAAGAAAAAAATTAGTATTTGGATATTAACCTTTGAACTGTGCTTCCCATTCTAAAACGGAATCCATTTCCATCGAATTTAAATCACTTAAATCGTCATAGCCATCAGTTTTACATTCGACAGAAAAGGTTGCCAGGCCTCTTGAAGCGTCCCGGCCGGCGAATGCGGCATAAGGACCCCCTTTAATTAACAAACAAAATTAAAAAGATACAAACATAAAACTCCAGCCTACCCGGCCCATAAAATCTTTTTCCTTTAGTGACATCGTACACATTTCCATTCACTGCCATCAAAACGCGTCCATCCTCTTGTGTTCCGTTATAGGGTTTCAGTTCTTCAGGGGTAAAATCTTTCCGTAACTTTGGAAGTTGTGGCTCTGGCGGTGAATACACTGGTTCCTCATTGGACCGTTTTAGAATTTTGTAGGCCAAAAAAGCAATTGCAAGAACTAATGCGATATTTAAAGGACTTTGTATTATTTCTAAAACTAAATTATACAGGAAACCGCCCGACTCCTCGGAAGGAATTTCTTCTGCCATTTTGACAACTACACAAAACAAAGTTCAACGCAACTGACAGAAAGTAGCCCGTGAACGAGAGCGAATGCGTAGTACACGAGCACTTATACTGATGTCTCGTTTCATGATCGTCAAAGATCGTGTTAAATAAATCTTAACATTTAAATTAGAACTTCATTTCATTACTGTCGGAACTATCCAAAGTACACATTAGAGCGATGTACATTAAATAAAATGCCAAATATTATTTTATGTACTGCAAAGATAATAGATCATTGTGTACGATCCGGTACACTCTTTACGAGAGCCAATCTTTTAGTTAGATCTCTGAAGTTGGCAAGAGAAGCACGAGTTCAAAAATCGTTCATATATCTACGTGGAGCTTTATTAACAATTTTTAATTCCAATAGCCATACTGTAACTCAGTTCCCAGTATAGGAAGGAGTTACAGCGATCAGCTACCAGAATATCATGCGCGTGCTTATGTATTTACACATTCACCTATGTATAACTATTTTCATATACCGAACGTTCCAAAAAGATTGAACAATTCGTCTTCTAACCCAAATTCCAATTTTTCAAAGATGCAAACTAGTCTCTTCAAAATTGTGTTGACTTAAAACTCCCCACCATCGATCGTTTTCAATTTAATGTAATCTATATAGTCTAGATGTTTTAGTTTCATGGTTTCACTGGAAAAGTTTTGTAGAGATTCAGCCTCAGTAGATAGTTCAGTAGGTTCACTTTGAATATTTGCAGGAATCATTAGAATTAATTGAGTGTTGCCAATTGTTTATGCACAGTTTATCTGGATACCTGTCCGTTTCGACGAACTAAAATTTTTAATTACAACAAAATTAGGAAGTCTTGGCCTTTTTAGTATAAATAAGCATTGTTAGTATAGATAATAAACCCCCTAAAGCGGATCTAAGAAATGTTCGGTGGCTAGCACAGATACCACCCGCACAACTGCACATGCGCGTTCTGTCCGGACTTTTAAACCCTTTCTTTTATGTCTAAAAATATGTGTAGCAAATTTGGTTCCGATCGGTTAAGCCTTTAGACGGAAATAAGAGGTTGCCACACTTTGGGCATGCGCGATTCTGCCCAAACGCTTTTCAGCTCTTCCTTTTACGTCTAAGAATATATGTACCAAATTTGGTTCCAATCGGTTGAGCCGTTTAGCCGAAAATGAGAGTACAGGCCGCAATAATCGAGATTTTGTTTGATTCGGAATCCTGGGCCTTCAAAACGTGTATTTTCGTCAAAAAAAAAAGGCGGTCATTTTTTACCCCAAAGCAATACCTCCTTAGACTAGGAACTTTCCTTGCCTAAGCTTACTAACGTGCGGTTGACAAACCGCGGCAGAGCACCTTTTCGTGTGTGATCCTACGAGGTCATTGGATTTGACCCATTTTCGATAGACCTGTGGTATACAGGGTGGTGACTTGCGTAACGCATCATAGGGATTCCAATGTAAAATTCACATCATGCGATTATTGGCTCCCCAAACTATTTTAGACCAAAAATGTATTAAGGTTTTTTGTAGAAAAAATCTTTTTCAATAATCTGCGATGCCATGGAATTTTCTAAAACAAAAAGATATCCAGTTATCAATTAGCAGTAGTTCGAAATGGATTTTATGATCATCTACTGTCTTACAGTTAATGGTGACTTATTTCATTTATTCGAACATTTATTGTAAAATGTTATATTAGGAAATCGTTTTTAGTAATTTGGTCTTTCTTTATGTTGAATTCGCTGTTCTAAATATAATACTTTTTGATAGAATTTGATTTGTTTCATAGCAGGCATTCCATGGCATGACGGATATTGGCGTAATTTTTGTATTATAAAATTCCATGGCATCACAGATTATTGAAAAAGATGCTGGTTTTATTTTTCCAATTTTCCGTCTTTATATGAAAAAAATTGAAAACTATACGGTTGATTGGCGTAAAAAAATTTTTTCTACAAAAAACCTTAGTACATTTTTGCTCTAAAATAATTTGGGGAGCCAATAATCGCATGTTTGAATTTTACATTGAAATCCCTATGATGCGTTACGCAAGTCACCAGCCTGTATAGGTCAACTGTGCAAAGTTTGAACCGAATCAGCCCAAGCGTTTGGCATAGTTATCGTGTTCACGAACAGACAGACGGAGATCGGTCACACAAGGCCTCAATTCCAGACTTTTACTCTGGTACCCGATAAATAATGTTCTTTTTGCCCTTTCTCCAGCTGTACGTAGGTGGCACGGCGTAACGCTCTGGGGTTGTTACGTACCTATATCATTCCCATGTTTCCTTTTAAATTCTTCAACGAAGTGGGCAACCATTATCAAAGTCTTCACCTCCAAGATGCCTGTCGCGAGCAGTCGCGATTTGACTTCGAACAACGACCTACGTCGATGGTGAGTACGGATAAGTCAAATGTACCACCGCCCAAATCGAAATTAAAATTTTTACGTTCACCTTTGAGATTGTTGTCCAAACCATAAGCAAGAGCAGCAGCCTTGAGTAGATTGAAGTTGACAAACTATCGCTACCATTATCAATCTATATATTTTTTAGTGAGAGACATCGTCAAAGCACCATTTTCAGCATTTGTCACGCAGTCGTCCATGAAGTACTAATCTTCCTGCTATTGGTCAAAGATCTCCTTATAGGCAGACATCATTGTCTTGGTATTACAAATCGTGTGTTAATTAACACAATGTCCAAAATCAAAGTGTAGAATTAAAAAGATATACCATGAACATTTTACTTTATTTATGTACAATGTAGAGAGAAGTTCTTGAAACGCACATAGCAGCTATAAGTTTGCAGTAGTGAGAGAAATAAGTTATTTAGAAATTCAATCGGCACGTCTTCTATTTCCGCGCCTCCTTGGAGGTTTTACGTCTCCGACAGGGGCTGCCTTATTATTTGTCGAATCAATTTCCTCCTTTTCTTCAGCGTTCGTTTTTAAAATAATAGCCGAACAACACTTATCAACAGTTCCGGTCCTTTCTTCAATTGCTTCCTTGCATCCACAACAATTACTGGAATAACATCTGCAACCGCCAGTGCAGCACGCGCCACATCCATCATTTCCCTGTTCAGTTATTTTTGGCGAGCAAGAACACGCAATGGGTGGAGATTTAACCCAGTCTACCAGATTGCGGCACTTCTGGAAAACTCTCGAAGGCGTATCTATAAACTCTACTTGCCAGCCTACGGGCGCGCTTTTACAATCTTGCGTTTCTGTCACCCACGCTAATCCAAATTTTCCTTTAATTTTCGGTGGACATTTGCAACAATTACATTTATTGGTATTAACTTCCGAGCATAGTTTGGGACGATTGGAACAGCAGCATAACCTGCTTTGGTGAACTGAGTTTGTCATGATTAAATATGAGAAAACGAAAATTTTTTTTTAGTGACTGAAATGGCCAAAAATGTCATTGTAGAGATCACACTCTAGATTTTATTTATACTTTCGTCGCCACTTTAAAAAAAAATACCTATGCACTCAGTAGATGTTTGATATACTTTGACATGACCTTTTGGTAATAAGATTATAGTGCCCATTATGCCCTACTGAAACCTGAAGTAAGAAAATGAATCTGAGAAGCAACTGTTCGGGAAAAACATTGTAATGCGACGCGTTTTAAAAAGAAAGCTTTTTAAATTAGTATATAAATGGTTTCAGAACATATATATTAGGGCCACCCATCGGGAGCGCATGAAGTTAAACGTAAATCAAATACGTACACATTTTCTGTTACAATTTTATTTGAATAATATATGGGAATGTCACTTATCTTATCACATCCATTTTATACGAAAATATAGATAATACCTAACAAAAAATTAATGTATAATGATAAAGAAATTTTACACAAAGAAACACCTGCAAATTTTATCAATTTAGGTGTCTTATGAAATTAAATAAAAGCAATAATTTCGCAGTTCTATCTGTCTCGCATCGTCAAACAAGAACGAACCATCTGTATAGCGACATCAGCCTTTCTTATAGACATGACGGAGGAACAGACAAAAAGTATCATTTCATGAAGAGGCTTTTCAGCCTAAAAAACAGTCGAGATTTTTATCTGCTAAAAAGGCTGTGTACCTAAATCTCGAAATATATTAGTTATTCAAAATCGTCATGCTTTGTCAGTTCCTATCTAATAGCACAGATAAAATCTAATAGGTAGCATTGAAGGCAAGGGAAAATATTAATAGTTGTTAAAAAACAGTATGTTAATCAATTAGGTAAGTATGTTGTATAGAGATGTATTTAATTAAAAGTAAATGTAAATTACTGCTTCCAATTAATGTAGGTATGAAAAAAATTATTATTCACTTTGTTATAAATACATATTAGTTTAAGATCGCTTGAAAAATGTTGTTTACATTGATACAATAGGAATGTTGGTACAGGGTGTTCAAACGAAGAACTGAGTTTGATCGCGGCATTGATTATAATACAGAGTGGCCCAACGAGAAGTATACAGAGGGCTTTTAGGGTATTAAATTTAGAAATTTCGAAAAATCCTCGAACGCGTCAATTTTGTATTCGAGGGGGACAACTTTTGGAATACAAATCACGAACCCAAGTCTTCACCGCTCTACGTAGGGAGCTTAACCCCTAAAATTTTAAATGGAAGCCTGCGGCAAATGGCACACATTATTTGAAAGCCTATTTAATCGTGATTACTAATCTGCTCTGCTTTTTAAATTCTCTTGATTCGTTTTGGAGAACTGACAGGTTCACTTACGTTTAACAAACAAATTGAAGCGTCAAAATAAAATTTTAATAAAGATGACTTAGATCGCATTTGTTTTGTTTTTTTTTAGAAAAAACCATTTCAAATACGAATCAATAGATCAATTGTAGAATGTCAGAGGTGTCATGGTGCCGTGCCGGAACGCTAATCCAGCACTGGTTTTACAAAAAAATACAAATACAGGCTATATTTTGTGCGCCAATAAAACAATCAAAATGTTCCTCCTGTTTTACTTGTCATTCTGATAACAACTGACTCAAGAAGTAAACCCTTAACGTATCTGCCCACTACACCGTACCGTACCCTATCATGACCGTACTATGAACGTGTCAGACACGGAAAATATAGGATGTAAACAAACGCGTCAGGAAGAGGGTGAGAAACGAAAAGTCGAGGGAGAATAGTGGGCATTATGTAGACCTAGCCGATGACGAAAAAAATGTCATATATGTACTTCCGTATATTCATCATTTCTGCGCCTGCACGCACCGGTTTGGGACCGTCGCGTGCCATTCACGGAGCGTATCGGCACCGTCAAAATATTCGTTGACGCTCCGTGCATGGCACGTTACGGTGCTGGTCGGTGACTAAACCGTGTAGTGGGCATAGTCTCATACTATTCCATGCAAACAATATTTTGTACCCGCTACAACGATCATACCATGACCTTAAAAGTCTCTACCTAAGTACCTACTACAACGTATCATACCATGACCGTAATAGGAACGTGCCAGGCAGCAAAAATATTGTTTGTGTGGAACAGAATGAGACTATGCCCACTAGACCGTTTTGTCACCGACTAGTACTGTAACGTTCCATGCACGGACCGTCAACATAGTCGTTGAAAATATTTTGTCGGTGCCGATACGCTCCGTGCATGGCACGCGACGGTCCCAAACCGGTGCGCGCAGGCGCAGAAATGATAACATACGAAAGTACATATAAAATTTTTCTTCGTCTTCAACTAGGTCTAAATAACGTGTTTGTTTACAAGTACAACCGAGAGAACGGGAACCGTACGGATACGACAAGCGTACGCTCCGGTCACTATAATCGTTACGCACGGGCACGGGTATGATACGGCGTTGATACGGTACGGTACGGTATACCTTTAAGGTATATGCCCACTACACCGTACAGTATCATGACGGTACTATGAACGTATCAAGCACGGAAAGTAGACGATACGGACTACTATGTCCACTAGACCGCCGACTGGTTTTGTAATGGTAGTAACGAAAATACGCAAATCGGCAAATTATGCCGATGTGGCAACAATGCCCTCTGTCAAATAATTAAATTACTGACCGACACCGACCATCCCCGCCAATAAATCGACTGAACCGACCATCCGATGCCAATCCATTTTCGTTCTGTTTTCATATTTGGAGAAAAACTTTTTTGCCGCCTCTGATGTTTTCGTTTGTTTTACAATTACGTTATGGTTACTTTAGCACTTAGAACATGGGTACGATGGTCCAGATCTTGTACTGTTCGTTAAATACAAACGCTGCATGCTAAACTAAACGTAAATAATAGTACTTGGCCCACAGTGGAGAAGGTGTAACGTAAAGTGAACGTGTGCGATGGAATTAATACGAAACGGCGTATGTAGTATATGTAACGAAAATACCAGCGTGCTGAGTAATTCCGCTGTACAACCTTACTACAAGCAAGTTGAGAATGCCTTCTTTGAGGATTCAAACAATTTCATTCAAGTAAGTACTATTCCTTCTTCTGTTTTGTTTTTGACGAAAAGTGCCGGTATTAAACAATACAGAGAGCAATTTTGTATACTGTATTAGACATGGTGTTGTCTAATGGTCATTGTTATAACTATGTTGACAAAGCTCGATTACTTGCCTCCATAGGTATGAATTTATGAAACAATGTCATTGCTACATTCAAAACAGCTTAGTAGGTGCTTTTAGTCATTTCTAGAATGTATGGTTTCAAATACATTTTGCCAGTAAAAAATACTGCCAAGTGTTTGAGGTTATGTACATAAGTTTTATTCTCTTTAAATTGTGGGTAAAGAATTGGTGCCTTGTTTATGTTTTGGTTTTAATTTTTCACTAAAGCAAGGTATCCACATAATGTGATTGCCATGAATTATTTCTACACTACATAGCCCATTGGCATCATGCAAATAAGATTGTGGGGGCTGTTTGTGGAGTGGATCCGAAGTCTATTCTTTTGTAATCATTATCACAGATTTGTGGTGTAAAAATCCCTCATACAAAATGTTCATTGGCATGATTTGTATCTTATGTTGGCAAGGCAGCTATGGCTGTTGTCCAAAAAGTACAATAATTTACAAAGAAGTACAAATCATTAGTACTATGCGATCAAAAATGAGTTGCTGTCGAGTCACCTTTGGAATTTTTGTTTACATGAGAAATGGTACTTAAATGGAACTTCCAAAGGTGACTCGACAGCAACTCATTTTTGATTGCTCGTTAAGAGTCATCAGCGAGTTGGGGTTTGTACCTTGCAAAATTAATCCTACTTTCTTACAGCTTCAGATTGCAGTACTCCCTATACCCTTTCTAAGATTTACGTGGGCTACCTGAGGGCCGAATCCGGTCAGCTAACATAATTCACAGTCTTTATACGGTCCACCAAATTATACGAATTCGAATTAATTAATTAATATGATTATGTTACATGCCCAGTATCTAGTGGACACGATTGTATTTTTTATGTATGTTTGTTGGGTATATTTTAGGAAAAAAGTCATTTTTATACTTAACCATCAATGGTACGCCCTCTAGCGGCGAAGCTAGAAACTTGAAAATAATTCTCTTGGTCCCTTTTGTTAATAACATTTTTTTCTCGATGCTGTGCACTTAACGGTTCCATAGATATGGCCTGTGACTATTATTAATGGGACACCCTGTACATTGGTTTTATTGACGTTGATTAAACTCAGATTAAAGGATGATTATGACACTCTCCTGGAAGCTGTAAGATGGCGCTGTTGTTTTTACTTTATTTTGCCTTTATTTTTAAGTGGGCGGGGTTTCAGCCAAGGCTGCTCTACCAACCCAACCCACTATACATTAACATGATGAACATACTAATTTATTTTTAGATCTTACAATTTTTGAGTTATAATACAAACTTTAATTTTTTTAAATGGTAGTCATAGTTGGCTTTGACATTTTTAAAAAGGACAAATTTTTCTCTTTATAACGATATAAGGCTTGCTAAATGTACTTTAATAAATAAACGCCCTGCAGTAATTTTCGTATTGTTGAGAGGTAAGTAAACAAAGTTGGCCATGGAAAACAATATGTAGTGAGATAGGTACCTTTCCGAGTACCTTTCATTTACGACGAAAATTGGACAGGCCAATGTTATCTTCATTTTCTACCAAATGAATTTCAAGATATGTAGGATGGGTGAGATTTGGAAACATGACGTAATTTACGCTGGTTTCAACACAACGGTGCCCCGCCGCACAACTAACTGCAAGTTAAATATTATAATAGACAGTAATTAAGAGAACAAAAATGTTTCCCATGGCAAAATCTGTTTTTACTACTGTTAATAATACAAACAGTTCTGTATCATGTCAAAGTAAGTATAATGAACCTTATATCATTGTAAACAGAAAAAAATGCACTTTTTAAAAATGTCACAGCCAACTATGATGATTACCATTTAAAAAAATGTAAGTTTGCGTTATAACTCGAAAATTATAAAAGAGGAATAAATATTAATAAATGTATCTTGTTAAGCGGAAAAAAATCTACACTTTTGTTCTTTGCATATTTTTGTATTTCTAATACTAACGATTCTACAACAGTTAAATGAAATCACTAATTCTGTTTTTCGCTCAACTGTGGATTTTTTTAAAAAAACAGAAGCATATCTTGAATAAGCTCTTAAAACTACAACTCTTTCCTCATTTAACCGAATCTTTATGTCTTACGGTTTCCAAGATCCTAATGCTTAAAATGAAAAAAAACCTCGAAAAAAACTCACCCTGTATATATAAAGTATACATGAAAAAGTTGTAGAGTACTTAGTAATACAGAATAACCTACATTTGTTTGCATGCCATCGTAACTTTCAGTAATGATCGAAAAAATGGTTTCCGTAAGACAAGAAAAATGTTTTTGTCTACTCAAAAGTATTCATAATTACCTATTTACAACTTTTTCCTTTGTAACTCACATATAACAAAGTATAGATGTTTTCTTTTTAGTTTCAGGAGCAAATCGGCAATAAAAGTTTCTGTGCATTGTGCGTTGAGAAGATTGTGATAGCCAACCTCTTCAAGAGCGCTTATGAAGACATAACGAGAAAGAGAGGCAGCTTTAATAATACCTACGAGCGTTGCTTTTTTTGCGAGGGAGAAAATGGAGACTTATTAAGGGTGAACGACAACCCTAACGATTTCGTTACAAAGATTGGGGTTTTCATGAAATGTACCTCGTACCCTTCCTCCTGTGAAGGTTGTGCCACATGCTTCGAGTGTTTTCTTCACGCCAACATTTGGTTTGAGGTTTATGACAAAATACATAAAAGGGTGAGTATATCGACCACCTTGCAATATTGTCTCTAATACACTTCAGCTTTACAGGCATTTCAGCAATCAAAACAATATTCTCTTTTGCTGATACAATTCTTTATACCTAAATATGCAGGAGTTTATTTTATTGCAAATAAGAACAACATACAAGCTAGAGATTATTTTAATTCACTATACATCCTAAGAGTAATTCATGACATTCTCACACACCACATTAAATACTTATCACGATTAAGGTTAAACGTTATGGCCTTGTGTTCTGCTGTCATACGCAGTAAGTTCTTGAGAAAAATCTTTGCTTAAACCTCAGGATAAAAATTGCTACAGGCAGAACACTTTGAAGGAAATTTAAAAAAGGGTTTGCTAGAAGACTCTAAAGGTTCTATGAAAATGCTATATTAAGATTTTTGGGGATTAAATTATTTAAATGACCATGGGAAATTTGTAACATTGAAATGGCCAAAAAAAATGGCATCATTGAAACCTTAAAAATTCCATAACAACAAAACTTGCATCGATCACTTTTAAAAAGAAGTCTTTATAAACTTTCTGTACAAAAGTTTCGATTTTCGATGGTTAACAAATTTTCCAGAAAGTTTCTAAGATCATTTCAATGAAAGGTTATAAGAAAATTCATCAGGATTTTTCGGAATTTCACTAATGTGGGAGAGAATTAGAAAAGCAGACTTTGTAGGCTACTCCCTTTTGTGACGTGAAGCGGTAGTCGTAAGTGCTCCCTTCATGGGAATGGTTTTTAAAACTGTCCAGATTATCTTTGGCATATGGCAATTTCTAAAAAGTATTGTTGTGTTTTTTTATTAGGCCGCAGTTGGACGGCATTTATTTAGTCTGGAAAGAAGTTTATTTCCCATTTTTATGCAGAGGATCGTTGTTTTAGTTCAATTAATGCTCGGCCGGAGTTAATTAAGAAACTTAAGTCTGGGAAAATCGAATCCGTAATTAGTGTGCTTAAATGTAATAAATTTTGTCTTGTTGTTGTTAAATTCGTGGAAGTTAGCAGAGTGCACGCGCTTTGCACAAGTGTTACTTTAGATAAGGAAACTTTTAGTCGTTTAAGAACGAATTTCATAGGAATTTTGGCGTGTTAAAACTCGTAAAAGTGCCAGTCTAAGTTGATTTACGATCGGTAATAGTTTTATTTATGCAATTATGGTATTGGTCCGCGGAGTCGACCGTTAAGTTTTATCGGCCCCGATATTCGAATTTTTCATGGAAAAGCGTCGCACCGAGATTTGACGATACTGGGGTATAAATGGTTTTGAACAGCGAAGAGAAGACGCTTATTGTACCGTTTCGCGAAGCCTACGTTTGTCGTATGTGAAGATTTTTGGAGAGTTTATTGTAGCGGCGTTTGATAAAGTTACGCCAGTTTATTCATCGTGTTGTATTTTTTTGAAAGTCCGGGAACGTGTGGATTACGCCGGCATCGAGGAGTTTTAAGAAGGTTTTTGGAAGGAGTTTGTTGAAGAGAAACGAGCGGTACAATAATGCCATCTTAGCAACGTGAGTTCGTTTGCATCGTCTTTTACATTGTCTGGAGTAGCCGGAACGTTTGTTTAACGCCAGCATCGCCGAGGAGCTGTTGGAGTAGCTGTGTCAGCACATACCTGGGGCTGTGTTTGTGTTTTTTTTTGTGCGTCGGTTGTTTGCGCATTTGTAAAAAGGATTAGCACCGTGAGTACTGTCTTTTTTTGTTTTAATTTAATTGTTAGAATCGCCGTCTGAGACGGTTTTGTGTTTCAATTTGTGTAAGTCATTTTTTTTAGATTTTGTAAATTTAGCTTTGTAAAATTTTTGTTTTTTTTTTGTCATTTTATTATTTGTTGTGTGTCAAAGTAAAGTTCAAGGATTCGAGTTTCTCAAATTTTAAGTTTTCTTCTTTTATCCCGAGTGTGTAACGAGTTTGATAACGTAAAAAGGTTTGGATCATCGGTGGGACTTAAATTTCATTCCAGAAGTCAGTTAACAAGGGATTATTTTTATTTGGAATTTAAGGGAGGTATTAGCCACCGACCTGGCGAGGTTGCTACCTCTTGTCCGGACGAAAAAAAGGGGTAGTCGGACTCATTTTACGGGCCCTGAGATTTATGTTTTAAAGAGTTTTTGTGAGATTGAGCTAGTAAGGGTAAGTTGTGTGAGTAGTTTCAGTCGTAGGAAGGTATCACAACAGTATATAATAATAAAGTAATTGTTGTAATCTCGTATGTAACGCTGCCCAACATTTACTCAAATAGTTAAGTGGAAAAGCCAAAAAAAATTCATTTGTTGTGACAATTTTGTCGGAAAAATGTAATTTCAAAGACGTTTTTTTATTGTCAGCTTTGAAAAAATCGCAGCAGCCCTGGAAACTTTTTCGGCGGTCACAAAAAAAATTCCTTAGAGTTTAAAGATTCGATTACAAAAAAGAGCCAATCAAATTTTTATAGAAAAATTGAGATATGTCAAAATCTATGACAAATAGGTACTTAAATCTTAATTGCGTAAAATATCGCATTTTGAAAAAAATAGAATATTTCTATTTAAAAAAACCCAAGATAGCGGAAGCAGCACCATCTTGAAATTATTTTATTTCATTTCGCAATGGTCGATTATGGCCGAAAATCAAAAGTTTCTATTTCAACTGCAAGTTTAAAAACTGACAACGAACGGGCTATGTGAATCTCCCTGTATATTTGATTTTTTATTTAGTATCTATTCTATTTTTTTTATCGTTTTATTAGGTCAAACGTATGCAGGCCGATGTCGCTCTATACAGAATTCGAGCTTGAATTACTCTAATTTAGGATGGTAAATGAAAGTAATTTCCAGTTTGAATTTATCGACAGTAAAACTCAAATGTTATTATTACTTCATGTTTTTTTGAAATGAACATGTAGATTTACAGGGTACTCCAAAATGTGCACTGTGTTGCTGAAGCATGTATTGAGTTTATTGCAAATAGAACAAACATTGCATATCTGTACCTCTAAGGTTTGTTAAGTTGCTAAAGTAAAAAGGTTCGGAAGAGTTTAAAAACGCTCAGAATATTAGCCAAACACTGAAGGTCAGCACCAATAAGGACTGTAGGTAGTTAATTTTCTAGACTCTAGAGCAATATCTAGTCGGTAAAGGATTAGTGACTGGCGATAATGAATGAAAACGGATGGGTCACATTCTTTCCATGAAATATGGATATGCTGATTTGAGAATTCTCTAGAATTACAATTTTTGCTATATAAACAAACTGAACTGAAATTAAACATAATTCAATTTACTACACACAAACTCAAATTCTAGAGAATTCTAAAATCACATTATCACATGTATTTCATGGAAAAAATACATCACATCCGCTTTCATTCCTTAACGTCGGTCACTAATCCTTTATCGACTTGATGGCGCCTTGATATCGCTTTAGAAAATTCGCTACATGACTATTTCATTTGTTTGAAATATTATGGAGAAATTTTACACCACAGGTACTACTAAGAAAATTAAATTTTCAGATCAATTTAAGTGTGTAAGGACTACTTGAAGGCTGGGGTTCACCTATGTTAAATATAGGGAAAACTTGCTTCTGTATTTCATGTTAATTTCTGTAACAAGTTGAAACACGTTTTTATCGTCAATATCACTCCTATTCTTGTGTAAAATATTTTAAAAAATAGGTATTATTTTCAACATTTGAAAGCAACAAAAGGTATCATTTCAAAAATACTTAAATTTTATAGAGACAAAATGTGTGTCCACTAGATGAAAGTTTTATTAAAAAAATATTGAGTAGGTACTTTCTGAGATGAACATGAATACGGAAGCATGTTTTCCCTATATTTTACACTGCATCTTTCATTGTCATGGAGGTTAGAATGGTGAGCTATGAATTTGAACCACCCTGTACTTACGTAAACGTATGCATCTCTCTGTATATTTATTTTATATTTTATTAACTTACCTACGAAAGAAGTGATTAAAATGAAAAATACGGGTATCTATAGAAGGAAAAATATACGCATCCAAAAAAACAAATTCTGAATTCATAATTCCAAATTTCCCCAACTTCATAATTTTTTGTAGCCAATTAAAACTAAGGAAATGCTGAGGTATCGGACTGACGATTTGGTTACTCTGCCATTTGCCTACAAATTATTCAGGGGAAGAAATTTATTACCAAAGATTTTTACATTATTACTACTAAATAAACCAAGGTTCAAAATCTTTTGTTTTGTGAGATATACCCCCAACAGTCGCAAAATTTGGGTTTCTTTTTTAATGATAGCAACCATAACATAGAGAAGTTTTTGAGTTTACCAAAATTCCTAACCTAAGTTGGCGCATGTCCAAATAACATCAAAATAATGAAACCAAACTTATTTAAAATTCCAAAAAAATTTTGACAATAAAAAAATCAAATTTCAAATTATCCCAATGCGGAAAACACAAAAATACTTCATTGTAATATTAAATATTCATTGAAAAAGAAACTATTATTCTTTCGACTCATTTTAAGTAAGCAAGAATGAAATTTCATATGAAAAATATTTGTGCTAATTTTTCAATTAAAGTGATTTGTAACACCCTGTATTTAAATATATCTTCTGGAATAAATATAAATAATCATGAATATGAATGAGAATAAGAATCTTAGACAAAATACAAACAATAATGAATTTGGAAATTTCTAGCTTACAAAAATGGTAAATCATTGAATTTGAAATACCCCATTTTGAACACCCTGTATAATCGGTCCGGGTGATCAGTCAACTTGTGTTCCAGTGTTTTTTTGAAGGTTATTTAGTATAGAAAGTATGTGTCAAATTTCATGCTGGTTCTACTAGCGGAACTATTTTGCCATTTATATGCGCTAACGGCTAACCAACCACACTGTTGTAACTACAATTGTAAATGTGACTTTAAAGAAAGAAGATAGTTGATGTTGCGCATCCTGCGCATGCGCACATTAACCTGATTACAAGATCTTTGGTTAAAATTTGAAAGAAATATGTTTACAAATAAGAAAGTTGGTATTGCACAGTCTGTGCATGCACACACCTGCTTTTTACTAAAAGCGATATGTTGGTCTTTACTACAAGTATTTGCGGTTAAGATTTCAACAAAATATATTAATAAATAAGAACTTTGATATTGCGCAGCCTGCGCATGCGCACATTAGCTTGGTCAGGTGGACTTAGAATTCAATAACAAAACTTGGATATGTTTTTCTCTGAGGTACAGATATGAAGGAATTGATTTATGTATTTAAATTCTTTGCTTATTGAAATATTTTTTTAGCGGAAACCTAATCGTAAAGAAATGAAACAATTAGATGCCATACATCATAACAATTCATCCTTGGGTAATGATGTGTTGCAAAAAGATAAAGAAAATGTCACACCCCCACACAACAACATACAGAAGATAAATAGGAAAAGTGAGAGAAGATTGCGTCCACTATCCAAACAAAAACCTGCTCCGGTGCGGAAGAAAACACGCAAAGTACATGGCGATTACCAAATGTCAAAAAGCTTCCAGGATGTTTTGAAGAAACAGTTAAAAAAGTTTAAAAGCTTAAAGGCGCAATCTCATGGAAATAATTGGTCATCGAGTATATTATCAGATAGTAAAATGTACAATCAAATTCCATATGTGTTGATGGAACATCAGCAACTCCAACCAACTTATAGAGCAACACGAAAAAGATCTAAGGAAAACGCTATGGAGGTCATAGTACTTAGTGACTCGGATGACAATTCGGGAGTTAAGCAAGCTCCAAAACTCCTCATTCGACGGCCAATTAAAATCTCTCTCTCAAAAAATTTTAGTTTGGACACAACTAAAAAGAAAAAGGGCAAAGGTCGTATTAAGCGAGTCAAACATACTTGCCACGTATGCGACAAAGAGTTTAACAATTTTTGCAACTACAAAAGACACACACTCTGGCACGAAAAGCCGGAACACTTTCAAATTAATGTCACTAGATACAATTTACCAGAACAAATTAATGCTTCTAATTTTCCAATTAAACCCATTTCCACTAATGGCTCAACCGAAGAAGCTAATGTTACCAAAAATCTAGAAAAAGAAGAGATTTCGGCGGGAAAAGATGCGAATGAGAGCCATCCCACCGCTGAAACTGGTGATACAACAAGTCAAGAAAATGGAGTGTCAAATAATAGTGATAGTGCAAGGAAAGAAAATTCAGATTCAGAAACGGCCAACGATGGATCGCACGAAATAAATCATAGTGAAAGCAATACAACTAATGATGAAGTTCAAGCTGAGGAAGAGACAAATAACTTGCCCAAAGAAACCCATACCCAACCCGAAACAAATGGCATCGTTGAACAACAAGAAAATGAGACTCTTTCCGAATCGATTCATATAGCAGCACCTCAAGCACATTCGACTATGTTTGACAATGATGAAAATATCCCAAATGACATTGAAAAATCACTGTCTACAATTGGTAGTGATGACAAGAGTGAAGACGAAGCATCGGCAGACAACGAAAATGGGGAGGTTAACAATTATGACAAACCCCCACGGAAACGGAAATGGGACGATTTGAGTGGAAATGCTGATCAGAATTCTGGTGATGAAACTGCACCGAAACGGAAAAAAGTGAGATTTGCCCTTGATTATACCAACTCTACAGATGCTGCCAGTGTCAATGAAGACTTGGTAAATAGTAGCGATGGGCTAAATGAGAACGATTCAACTATTGTGAATGAAGTTTAAAAAAGTTTTATATGTTAATATGAACAATTTTTTTTACTGTTAATGTCAGTACCTTTTATCATTATTATTACTTTTATCAGCTTTATACAGACAACCATTTTTTTTAGCTGTCTCTTCGCCAAGTGTACAAGTTTTTGGTATAACCTCAATACTTTTTCCAATTATTACCAAACACCTAATGTAAAAACTGGACTTTTAACTGGCGACATAGAGACATTTTCTGTCATTAATATGATACGACGAACTGCTTTAAATATTACGTTATTTGTATATTCTTTCTACCGAAATGTCTTAATGTTATATTAAACTAGGCGTTTTAATTTTATTTGATTAATGTGTAAGTTCAGGTATTAATGCAAGGTTTTTATGCAATTGGTTTTTAAGGAGTTTTATTTTATTTTAATCAAAACACATTATTTTAACAAACTGTAAATTCTGATTTAATTTCTGCAAACCGTATGTAGTGTGAGACTCCTAATAAACCAGTTGTAGAAAAAGTTCTGTCGAGGAGCAAACGATGCCATGATATTAGCAACCACTACTTTTAAGTTAGATCAGTGTCTTACCACAAGTATTAATGTCACTGTAAATATTTATTCAAATTCACCTCAAATTTGTACATAAATCGGATTTGTTTTTCATGACATTATGTAATTCCCTAATGTGAAATTGTTATCGCTATTTTCTCAAAATTGTGGTATGTTTTAGTATGTGTGATAAGGCAATGCTTTGTAATTCTGTACTTATGAACTAAGCATTTATTAGTAATTTTGATAAACTAATTTATGTGTTTTAGATAAAGTGTACTGTATTGTAAGGACTTAATTGTTAAGTAGGTAGTGTTTTTCCTGTAAATAGGTAATTAAAACAGATCTTAATATAAATACATGGAAAATTGTATTAATAAATTTTCATCGTTTTTAAATTTAATGAACATTTGTATAATGCATGTCATATTGGGTTTATTAATCATTTGAAACTATTTTGGGTATTCCTCGTGAACGTTTCACTTGAAAAAGTGCTTGCGAGTACCTTTTCGGAACGGCTGCTGGATACTCGATACTCTAGTGTTTACTTAAAGTACTCGGCGCTCGAGTGCTTTTTTCGCTCCCGAGTACTCACAAGTTAGGAGTGCGCAGAACTCGCAAATGGTTTTGCTTTGCAAAACGGCTCGGTGCTCGCGAGCATTTTTAAGACGATTAGAACGCCTGAACCAGCACTGGCTGAGACCTTTATTTCCTCATCCATGTCGAAAACATCCTTTATGTCGGAAACTGGCACAAAGTTGTCTTTTTTGCTAGACATGTTCAAGGTGGACCTATTAATCTTGTAGATGCTTTCCTCTCGGAAAACTGTTGGCGCCTTTTCCCATTTCTTTTGACACAAACAGGTGGATGTGCCTATACACCTTATGCAGGTCTCCTGAAGGACATAATTTTTTCAGTATAAACTGCACATTCTCTCTTTTTGCGCTTTGTGAGAGGAAAATATTGTTGCTCTTAAAATTTGTTTGTGAAGTGTTGGTGTTTAAACTTTTTATATATAATTCAATTTGATTACATAGGTAGCAAACAAAAAGCATCCACATATCTGCTTTCATCCTTTACCGCCGGTGATTGATTGAATATTTTAGAGTGACTAATATGGAAAATCAAAAACAGTAAGATGGTTGAAGAGTGTATGATCAAAGCACTAGTAACTCGAATGGAGAACGGCGGTTCCAGGAATTCTAAAGAGCAATCGGTGGCGGTTACTGATGCTAAAACAATACTTGAAGCCCACAGCAACGTCCCTAAGCAGGAACAGTAAATAATCGGGTTCAGTAGCGGTTTCGACGAAAAAACAGTGGCAGGAAGCGAGACAACATTCCCCCCCCCTATAATTAATGAAACGGAAAGTAGCAATAAGCTTACCTCATGCAATTAAAAGTGTAACAATCACTGTGCTGGAAAAAGCAAAAGCTATAGATACAGTGCTGGAAACTTAATGTCAAAGCAAAAATTAAACGGTCTGCATCTAAAATAAATGTACGGAAAAGCTTAAAATAAAGGTACTTACAAAACATTGTATGCAACAAATTTTAATTCCATTTAACACCAAAGGCAAAAAGATACAAAAATCAAAAGATTTTACATTTCGGTAAACCATCAAATGAGAAAAAGGTCTAAACATGGTGCGGTAGAATTAATTTCAAACAAAACAAAATTGAACCGTACCTACGGATGAAAAGTAAACTTACGGAAAAGCTAGATAATTGAAAGTGTTTGCGACAAGCAAAAATATCTCCTCTAAACTAAGCGTTTACGTTATATAAAATTCGGCTATGGCATAGGGGAAACGACGGTTTGTTCAGCTTTCCTTGCGATAACGCTTGAAAATTAAAACTGCTTTTAAATAATTACGTCCTCACCAGACGTCTTAAAAATACCGGACCAGCAACAAAATTCAAGTTTTTTAAGAGCGTACCTAGCGGATATAATTTCGGTTAATTATACTTATCCAAATAGTAGGAATGAAATCTCCAAATTTGGTAATCCCCTTTTGTTTCTTGGAATGCGAGGTCAAGCGCGTAATCTGTTTCGTAACATTGATAAAAACTGCGCGATCTTAGCGGTTTTAATGATGGATTTCATATACCTACCTCTATCATTAGAAAATTACAAACGATTACTATGGGTAATTATAACGAACATATACGTTAAAAATATTGATTCTCTCTCCTTCCCTGGCAAGAAAACCCTTGGGCGGGTGTAAAAACATTTTAAATATTTCTACAGGACTTCAATACGAAACTTATCTGCTTTATCGGCGGTAAGACAAACAATTAAACAAAATGAAAGCACACAAAAGCTCACTCCCTCATCTCCTAGAGCAAATAACTTTCACTCAACGAAATAACTAAATTCAGAAACTGTGGTTTCTTATTAATGAAGAGCACAATGATTTGTCTAGATACAAGGTGGTTATCATAAAGGCGGATAAACTTCAAGGCTAGAAACGAGTGCTTCGTTACAGTACTAAAGAAAACGGAAATAGAAAGAGACAAGCAGTTGGCAGTAGGGGAAACGAACCGTAATTAAATCTAAACAATTCTACACGATGATTTCTTCGAAAGTTTCACTTAAAAAACCTTTGACGCCGATCGACCAATAATAGAACAGCCAAAGTGAATATATGTACAGGGTGCGGCAGGGAAACTTGCTGATTTGAAAGGTCAATAACAGAAAAAGTATTTCACATATTGATTTAATTCTTTTTTAACGTATTCTACAAATCCTGAATTTTTCTTTTAATTCGTTTTAAAAATTACATCAGGCAAATGGCGGCCCTCATTAGCGATACACTGATCGACCCGAGTATGGAAGTTTCGCTCCACTCTTTCGAGCATATCGACGGGAATATTGGCGATGGCTTGGCGAATGTTGTCCTTCAGGTGTTGCAGGGTCCGTACGTGGTTTGTCATTGTAAACAATGGATTTGAGATATCCCCATAGAAAAAAATCTCAACATTTTCTGGGGTTCTGGCAGTCTGTCGACCTCCGGGCTCTTTTTTACCACACTGCCACTTTGCCTGAATGCACGCACCCACGAAACGATTGATTGCCGACCAGGAACGGGACCCGCGGGATGAATATTAAATTGAGTTCGGAAGGCACGTTGGGTGGCGAGCACCGAAAGGCCGTTGGAAAAGTAGGCCTCGATGGCGAACGCACGCTCCACCTTCGTCCAACGCATGATGACAACCGACTTAAGCTGTCACAAAAATTCAGGGCGCCCTCTTTCGAATGGGGCTCTCCCTATCCTTTTCTAACCACGCGTCGCTCATTGGCGCCACATTCAGATCAGCAAGTTTCCCTGCCGCAGCCTGTATAAGCGCTAAAAATAAATTTTCTTAGATCTAGATCCGAAAAACGATGAAAAAAATTTAAAAAGGCTCCCCACCACTCCCCTCCCACTACGATTTTTGGACGACCAGGGTCATTTTGCATTGCAATGGTCTAAGGAACGATAAAAAAATAGGTTTTTAGTTTAGCAACAAAGTTCCCACGAAAATCTATTCTAGAAGCCTTTTGCCAGTCCATTTACTCTACTATTATACTGCTTATAGCATTAATAGCACATCTTAATAGCTCTGATGATGGCACAGAACCAAGATCTACCAAGATAAATATAATAATATATATTAACGGAATTCACCTGTTACATTAAATACAAAAAAAACATTTTAGTAAGCGAGGTATTGCATACGGGTAAAAAATAACCCCCCCCCTCGTTTTTTACAGAAATGCACCTCTTGAAATATCATGAATTCAACTCAAACAAAAACTCGATGATGTGGGTTAGTCTGTCTACACTGTCATTTCCGACTAAACGGCCGAACTCGTTGGTAATATTCAAACCAAATTTAGTATACAATCATGCCCTCTAATATAATCTTAAAGTCACTAGAATATCTAGTGACTATATAATCTGTTTCATGAACACTTCCAATATGGTGGCAAAATTCTAAAGCACAAGAAGCGCCGACTGGGGTTCAAGGTAGGATCTGATTTAATCGTGTTGTTCTGTACTGCAACCAACACACATCAGTAGTTGACATTGTGTAGTTGCATAACCGAGAACTGTGGTACTCCCACTTCCAAATCCCTCCAAGTCACCCAACCACATTCAACGTGTCCCTTTTTTATCGATTCTATATAATCACACAGAAGTTCTCTCCAGGTGCACTATTCAAATCATGGAGGAAATACATCTAAATCACTGCCTAAATCTCTACAAAAACAGAAATAACATTTATTAACTATGAAAGGACATAATAAGATGACGCTTGACAAGTAGGACTAAAGATAAAATTCTTTCAATTCTATCACAACTGCTTAATAACCAAAGGAGCTGTAAACACAATAAATAACTTAATATTCAAATACTTTCACAGAAATACCTGCTCGGATGACTGCTATGATTATACCGAACATAACTAAGTTGGATATTACACCTTCTCTGGTTCTCCTACGTTCTTCTTCTGAATCTTTCGCTCCAAAGGGACCCTGTATTCTACGCATCTTCTACTTTGGTTGCCGAGTGAATATTTTTCAGTTCTATTTGATTTCCCAAACACGATTTTGTTCAGAACTAACCTCAAAGAATTTCGTATAAATATCAGAATTTCGTCACCAACGTAGAAAAAGTTGTTCTTCTCTTCCAAGTTAAACTTGTTACAAAAGTAAGACAGCAACAATACACGTAAATGAAAATTATTACTGCGACTCCTACCTAAAAGTAAACGTGACTCTCACAAAAGCGCATGAATTTTAGTATAAATACAGTGCTCTAATTTTTCCTGTCAAGATTTTTTGGAATTTCCTTTCTTTCATAGTAACGGGTTGGTCCGAGGACCCTGACACATTTTAATTTTTCCTAGCGCGGCCGGATCTAAAGAGAGGAGATTCACGAGTAAAAAGAAGACAATTGAAGGTTTACAATTCTTTATTTACTGAAAATAATCGTTCAAATGATGCCCGTTATGGGCGACACAATTATCCAGGCGTTTTTCAAAATTTGCAAAAACTTCGTTTAACAAAGCCGGCGTGATTTTGGAAATTCCTTCTTCAATATTAGTCCGTTATTCCGGTTCGTTTATTCTACGTTACATGCACTACGGTTTGATAGCCTACTTCTTGCTTGCACTTATGGTTTTTGAGGAACAATCGCATGTATGGTGCATGCCATTCATCATGCCTAAATTTTTTTTTTCGTAAACCATCACAGATAGTGATATTCATTAAGAGACAAAAAATGCTTGCAAGTAAACTATCAATGTCTAAAAATTCAGAATCGTCAAAATAGTAGTTAAAAAGTTTTAGACCTCTTCAGATGCGGATGGTCAGTATTTTACCACCTACATAGCAACTACAATCAAAACGATGATATCACAAAGACCCTTTTTCCATTAGACATTCACACCCCGAATTTCATTTTAATCGGCAAAACCATTTTCCGATAAAATAAAAATAACGATTCTTTTTTAATCTTTGGCGGTAGATAGCGCCTTACCGAAGCACTTTTGGATAGAGGTAATGATACCAAGAACCCCTGGTAGCGCGTTGTACAGACCTTTTAGGGACACCCTGTATATCAGATTATAAAAGTAAGTTTGGAACCAATCAATAGTAGAATTCACATTCAAATGGTAGCTTTATAGCGATCTCGTAAATGAATGCTTTCTATATGCGAAAATAAGCTTACGCGATTCTAATCAGGAGTTGGAACCAATGAATAAAGAATGGTTGGAACCCATATGAAAAATAAGTTCCGCCATTGAATTTATAACTACAATTGGTTATAAATTCATAATATGGTTCCGCTCCCTCACTATTTAGCAATATTTTTTAAGGGTTCCGGTTCTGTGGCTTCAGTAATTTTCCGTTACGGTTCCAACTTTTTTTCGATTTTTAAACGTAAATAAATTTATTATTAAAAAATATAAATTATTAATAATTATAGAAAATAAATATAATACACAAAATTAAAGGTCATCTTTCTTTTGCATAAATATCTTTTGTAATTTATAAAAAATACGTCGTACCATTGTTGTATATGGAACGCCTTCACACAAAACCGCTTGCCCTGAAAACCCCTATTTTTAAAATCCTTTAACTCGCTCTACCTCGAAAAGTATTGGGTCTAGCAAAAAAGGCATGTTCGATTTATTTAATTTACCTTAAACTAATTATCCAATCACTAATTCTAAAAAAACTAACACGTTCTCTGATGTTTGGTCTATAACGCTTATAAAGTCAGTCTTACTTATTTGCTAGACCCAATTCTTTTCGATGTAGAGCGAGTTAAAGAATTAAAAAAATAGGGGTTTTCAGGGCAAGCGGTTTTGTGTGAAGGCGTTCCATATACAACAATGGTGCGACGTATTTTATAAATTAAAAAAAGATATTTATAGTGTCCGGTTAGACATGCAAATTTGAGAAATGAATTTTCTTAGATCTTAGATCCCAAAAACGACGAAAAAAAATTGCATTTTTTTTAAAAAGGCTCCCCACCACTCCCCTCCCACTGCGATTTTTGGACGACCAGGTCATTTTGCATTGCAATGGTTTTTGGAACGATAAAAAATAGGTTTTACAGTTTAGCAACAAAAGTGCCCACGGGATAGCACAATAGGATCCCGTTTAAACTCTACTATAAGCTATCGAGTTCGAAAAGAGGGAACCAAATATCCTTCAAAACTATATGAGAGTAGTTTCGGCGTCGGATGGACCGATGGACGGGCAAAGTGGCTATAATAGCGCCTTCCAACATGAGTTGGAAAACAATAGCGTCTTTCCTTAAGCGCTGTGTCCAGCATATCGTTTACTATTGTGCTCCCACTATCGCCTAACTCATAAAACTCGTTCACTGCCAAATTTAATTTATATTTGAAGTTTAAACTCTAATCTTGAAACGTTACAGTGTACTTACCAAATTTGGTTCCAATCGATTCAGCCGTTTAGCCGGAAATGAGAGTACAGGCCGACCGACAGACCGACATTCGCGGATTCCTGGTGCTTCAAAACGTGTATTTTTTTTTTTATTTTTTTTTTTTATTTTATCCCTCTCTTGTTTTGGGCCCTCAACAGGCATGCGCCTCATTTCCGTCAATAAAGTGCTATAAAAACCCAAAAAATTATCAAAGTCCTCGTGTGGGATCGAAGGGACTTCAGCGCATTTATGTGTGGCAGATCAGTGTTTTAATAGCCAGTGTTGACTCCACTATCAATAAAAGATCTTGTCGAAGGCTACCACATTCACTTTTCGCAATTCGCGTTTAAAGTTTTGACTCCACCATCAGTAAAACTATAGTCGGAGGCTACCATATTCCCTTTGTCGGTATCCACTTCCGTTATCCCGTTCCCTTCCAATGCGCGTTTGAAGATTTGACTCCGCCATCAGTAAGATCGCGTCCGCAATTCGCGTTTGAAGTATTGACTCCACCATCAGTAAGATCGTGTCGTGGGCTACCACATTCCTTTTGTTGGTCTCTAACGGCTCGCCAGTCAACTTCTCCTATCGCCAGTAAAAACTCACTTACCTGGCTAATAATGTAAAATACTATTCGCCTTATATAGCGAGTAGTAACCATAGACATGTGCTTTGTCTATGGTATAGTAACTATCGCATTTTACATGAATTGATTAGTACGCCCCGAAAGGTCAAGTAATGGATTATTTATGTGTACAAAGGAAAATAAGTTAAGGCATAAATATTCGTATAAATAACAAATTCATTAATCATTTCGGCCTTTGAATATATTTACTTTGGAATCCAAGGTATTGTACATACGGTAGAAAATCGAAGTGAAAGACGAATTAAAAAAATGTATAATTTCTAAAAAGGTTCCTAACACAACAAGAACAAAAATTATTCTCTATCAATAAACGTAAACCTTAAAGGACCATTTGGTGCCGCTAACATTGTACTTGTGCTTTTGATTACTCCATAATGATATTCCACTCTGTATTTCCGAATTATCTAGAATTTTACATATAAAAATGGGTTATTATTTCAAATTGATTTCGATATCTTTAGCAAAAATGTTGGATAGGGCCTTTATACTTTACCTCTGCCAGAAGGGAAGACAACTGCATCTCGACCAACTGTTGGGCAAAGCAAGCTCGCCCACCAACACCATAGGGTAATGAATTTAAATCATAACCACCCAATTTCATTTCATCATTTAACCAACGGTCTGGTTTAAACTGTAGCGCATTCTCGAAGTACTCCTGCTTTATTCCATATAACTGGGTGCTGATAAGTACGGATGTACCTTTTGGCACGTAATAATTTCGGATAATTGTGTCTTTGGCAAGAACACGATTTAAAACGGGTATGGGCTGCTTCAAACGTAAACTCTCTCTAATGCAAACTCGCATGAAAGACATCTTCTGCAAGTCCTCTTCTGCACATACTTCTTTGTATAGTTTTTTTTGCACATTTGGGTTGATAGATAAGTGATAAAGTAAGAAGCCGACCGCGTGAGATAATGAATGTACACCTATCAGGAGCATATCAAGAAGAGTCGTTAGTGCATTTTCTGTCGACACATTTTCATTTGTGAGAAGCATTTCTAAGAAGGATTCTTTTTCTGGAGCCGGTTTCGTTTGACGCAACGATTCTTTTGCCTTAGAAACATATTTATTTACAGCGGACTCTAAGGTATCCGAGTGCATCACTAGTTTTTTCCAAGCAGGAGTTCCCATCAGTTTCCATAACGGTACACCTTAAAAAAGGTCTAAGATCGACTTGTAAAAGTTCAAAAAAGTCACGTACCAAACTCGCAACGTCTGATCGCGTCTATCAATCCAGTTACAGCGCCTAAGATTCGATCAGATTCAGAAGACGCACTTAAGCTAGAGGTTTCCAGAAATCCACAACGTTTATTAAAAAGCAACGCGCAAACACACTCAAGGCTCCATTTATCAATTTCGGTATTAAAAGTGATCGGAACTTCATCTTGCCTGTTACGAATTTGTGCAATACGCTGCACGAACTCTTTTGAAGCGTTTTTTACGGTAGCAATTTGGCGAGGAACAACCACTTGCAAAGTTCCGTCCAAAATGTCACGCATTTTTTTCCATTCGACCCCACAACTGCGTTAAATAAAGAGGTATCACTATATTTGTACATAATCTATTGACACTTACCTGAAAAATGGGCCAGGATGTTGATACTGCTTGTTTTTCAAACGATAATGTCGAAGACTATGAAAACAGAAGCGAATAGGATGCGGGCCTTCTTTTTGACTTAATTTTATTGCATCTTCCAAAAGCAACATTATCACAAGATCTCCACCGAATGGCCCTTGTATTCGTAAGACTGCACCATATTCTTGCACCATTCGTTTGAACAACGGAATGCTATTGTACCAGTTTAAATAACCTGTTAAAGATTTAGTGAGCATTCATGTGTATCATTTGATTAATTTACCATATAAATAATCAGCTCTAAGTACTTGTTTAATGGATCGATCTTGATTACGTGTCAGTGGGATAATATTCCAAAGTTTAGCACAATATCTCACCAATTTGGGACCAGGCATGGCGTCAAACGATAAATATTGAGAAGGGTCATATTTTGGGACCGAATCCAAGTTCACTACGTGATGAAACGGATCCACATTTTTATTTGTCAGCGGACTGGTGTTAAAACCGACATCAATGAGTCGAGGTTGCTCATTTCTCGGATTGACTAACAAGCATATCAAAAATTAATTTGAAAACCAAGTATAACGTAGGTACCTGTTGAGATTTTCGGCGCAATTACTTCTTGTGGCGTTGTACGGGGGTTGCCATCAGCAAGTTCTGGTTTTGTGTTAGTAACATAATGGTTATTATGAAGACGGTTGCGCAAGAAGATTGGTTTAAAACGTCCTATTCGTGAAAACTGCATGTTAATAACTAGGAGAACGATTTTTTTTTGTGTTTATCTAATATTGACATTACTATATCGCTATCACTTGTTCACTCAAATTATGTACTTCGGCATGGGTAAAACGATAATTTTCAAAAAAACTTGTGTGGAAAAATTTCTGAAATTTTTTACAGTTACATATTCCGTGAATGCTGAACTTGTCGCCGAAAAAAGTGGCCCCGAGATCTTTTTTATTTGTCCGTGTAGTTTGGATCTGAGACTGACATATATTTATGCACATGATTTGGTGATATGAACCATTCTGATTCGTTCCGGTTTCGTGAAAACACAAACGTAAAATTCTCAATTTTTTGCCATATTTGTGTAAAATATATGCTCACTCTAGCGGAGTCTTAAATGCGAAACATTTTTACCAACCAATTCGATGGATTACCTAAAAAAGAGACCTTTTAGAGTATTTTAACCACACTTAAAACAACCCTATCTACATTTTCACAGCAATCAAGGAACAAAAAAGAAAAATTACAAACAATAATAATTATTATTATAATAGTCCTGGAGAGATTGAAAATGGGCCATTTCCTGCAAAACGAGAAGTAGTTCCAATTTTTTTTGCATGTCATGAAAGAATATCTGGTGGTTAAGAATCCAAGTTTTCGACCTCCCACCCCTTGTGCTTCCCCCGTACCACCCTTAAAACCAAAGAAATTTGGTTGGTTTTTTAGTTTTTCAATCATATCTTTTTATAGGTTCATTTTACAAAAAAATATTGTTATTATCAGAAATTGTAGACTATAAAATTCTACACTACTTTTTTGTGAAATGTTTATTAAAAACGATATAGAGCTTCAGAGTTGCTTATATTTTTAAGAATTCTAAAATTTGTATGTAGATGTTTTAACCAAATTTTATACTTTATCTCTATAATTAAGAGTTTTATGAGAAAATATCTTGAACTTATCGTGGTATAAATCCCCCTACGCTGCACCCTTACCAAAGGGGATGCATAATAATTCAACTTTCAACCCTTGCTAGTGGGGATATTTGAATCACTGTGAGATTGTAGGGCTTTCTAATATACGTTTGAAACAAAAAAATTATCTTACTTCAGTTCAGCTTCATCCTTAAAAGCCTTCATCCCCCCCCCCTCCCCAACCGCGGGAGGAATAGATATTTAAAGAGGAATAGAACACAGGGGCACTGAACTGAATTGAGACAATTTTTTTAGTTTCAAAAGTATATTAGAAAGCGCTACAATCTCACAGTGATTCAAATATCCCCAGCAAGGGTTGAAAGTTGAATTATTATGCATCACCTTTGGTGAAGGTGCAGGGTAGGGGGGTTTATACCACGATAAATTCAAGTTTTATCTCATAAAACTCTTAATTATAGAGAAAGTATGAAATTTAATTAAAACATCTACATAGAAATTTCAGAATTCTTAAAAATATAACCAACTCTCAAGCTCTATATCTTTTTTAATAAACATTTCACAAAAAAGTAGTGTACATCAAAGTTGTGTAGAATTTTATGGTCTACAATTTCTGATAACAATATTTTTTTCTAAAGTGAACTATTAAAAAGATACGATTGAAAAACTAAGAAACCAACCAAATTTCAGGGGTTTTGGGGGTGGTACGGGGGAAGCACAAGGGGTGGGAGGTCGAAAACTTAGATTCTTAACCTCCAGATGACTGTCTATAACATGCAAAAAAATTGGAACTACTTCTCGTTTTGCAAGTTAAAACCCTCTATTCCCTGGACTATAATGGGCGAACCGCGAATGCAAACAAAAACAAACGGTGATAAGTCCGTAAGAACCTCTACCTATTTGGATTTTACAATAAACGATTTAGTTGTTCTTTACTTAGTTATTTCTTTCTGTTTATTCTTTTTTGAATTTTGTTCCTCCAAAGCTATACGACTCAGGTAAGTGAGTCCCTTTTACGTTGTCCATACGTCTCGGGCGCCCTTAATTTTAAAACTGTTTGAACCCATCCTTTCACGACTGAGCTGGTCAGCCCTTTTCAGGAAAAAAAAATGGTTACGGGTAGTGTTTCGCTTTCCTTTATTTGCTTCTTCGTAGATACCGATACCAAATCCAATTATTTACTGTTCCCGCTTAGGGAAAATGCTGTGCACTTTAATTTTGTTTTAACCAGCCGCCACTTACCCTTTTAACATTGTTGGAGCTGCCGTTTACTCCTTTAAGTTTGGCCGAGGTTTCTGAGACCGATCTGCCAAAGCGTTGCTACCGCTGAACTTGACCAGGGGCAAGCTTGGTGGCGCTCGGGTCCGTTCCGTTGACAGAACAACCAGGTTGCTGCCGACAGCTGCTACTTTCGTTCGCTCACATGATTTAGTGGCTATAATTTGTAAATTTAATTCATTTTCTGTAAATTAAATTACAATCATTCTTCCGCTAATGCTTATTTAATTTTTCATGCCATTTGTACGCGGACTTACTACCGAAGATCGTAACACAGAAAGATATTTTTAATGGTTCAAAACATATTTTGGGTGACCATAGCAGTTGTGATGAACGTGGGTGTCTTAAAGCTTAAAGTTAAGCATAAGTTAAATGCCATAGTAAGCATCGTTTTAATAATCGTTCCCATAGCTCGACTGAACTTTAAGCCAGGCTTAATTTGGATGGTGCAACTGGCCCTTATACATAGTTACCTACTATAACGACCTCTGGACGAGTTGTTCACTGGCATAATGCACCTATGGCCGATAATTTGCGGAATCGGAATTGATTCACCCCCTATTAATTTAAGCCTATTTATAAGTTATGTTGCATTATGTGTTGCCTAACTAGGTTACACGTACGCATCTGAAATTTGACTGTACAAGGATCACCACAAATAAAGACCGGTAAGATTGCCGATACATTAACCACTACATGTTGTCAAATGTCATTCAAATAACTTAACCAACAAACAAATACAACAAACTTTATTGGTTACACAATGGAAAATCAATTATTTGGGTTAGTTATTATTGGTCTAAAATGCCACAGTGATCATTATAAATGAAGTACGAGTATTTTAAGTGAATACAAACAGATAATGTACTTTAACTCCTAACTGGCTTATTATATGACATGGGAAGTGAAAAGGTTAGCTAAACAAATCGCTTTAATCCTTTTTATTTTCACTTACTTTTTAGTTACTTTTCCGACTCGAACAACCACATGGATTGGGAGATTTATACTTTGCATGGCAACACGGATCGGGAAGTTACTTAGCTACGACGGGCGTAGATTCAGTCGTGAACATTTTCGATCGTTATGGCCAAATACACGAACGAATCAGACTGCCGGGGTTTGTATTGAAATGATTGATTACGTACGTTAACGGAAGTCAATTAGGTTGTGCTGCGGGTTTGGTTGGGACGCAGATGGGGATTTGTTGGCAGTTATTTCGCAACCTTCACAGCTGATGTTATGGGACTCTAATAGCAACAAGAAAAGTGTTATCGACATTGGGTTAAGAGATGGTCTTACTGTTGTGTTATGGGCAAAAAGTACTCCTATACTGGCTGTCGGAACTGTGAAGGGAAATGTGTCTCTTTATAATCATGCAACTTCTAAGTAAGTTATGCAACGAGGTACCTAATTAATTTGGAACCAATGTTAGTGTTACGTATTAATTTTATTATTATTCATTTAATTTTAAGTATTAATACATGTTGATTGCGTATCATTGTAATCTGGGTTCCTAATGCACTTATGTGGGATAGGTTGATTTTCACCTGTTTGTAGTGCTATGTTTATGTACAAGTTTAAGTAGGTTTTTTTTTCAAGAGTTCAATCATCCAATAATCAGAGTTCCCAGCCAAACAACACGAAAGTTGAACTCTGTTTCGTGATTTCTTGTACTGCATAACAGTTTGTTATAATAATAATCCATGGCTACCAAGATCTAGTGTTTCCAGAAGCTGTCTGGGAAGGGGTCTGCGTTATCATCATCCCCTGTGACACGTAAATTTAATTACAAAACTTATTTATGTGCTATTAATTATTAATGAATTTATAAACTTTATAATCTTGTACCTACTCAAATTTATAACATGCAAAGTTATAGCCCGAACGGGAATTTCACTATATATTACTTCAGCATCGATTAATAAACATAATTCAATTTGCTTATATAACAAACAAAAATCTCCTAGAGAAGTTTTAAATCGCCATGCCATATTTCATGGGAATCACATCCGGAGCCATTCCTTATCGCCGATGATTAATCCTTTATGGACTTGGTGGCGACTTGATGGCGCCTTGATATCGCTCTTGAAAATTTGCTTCATTAATTTGGTCTAGTTATTAATTACCATGGTTTAAATAATATGTAATGATTGTCCATATGTCTTTCCAACGATAATCAATGATCCTGTTTGCAGTTTCAATGTGAAATATCTACCATAAAGTCTAACAAAATTAATTTTGTGTACACACAAAATGCAAGCCTTTTCAACATTGTGTGCTTGTTCCTATATTGCAAATTAATATTTTAAGGATTCACACTTAGCGCTAAGAGGAAGTGAGGGAATTTTATTACAAATGACGCCCCCCTCGAAAATAAAATTTTTATTTGGCTAAAATGCAGATTGAGCTCTTTCCAAAAGTGTGTACAAGTACGTACAAGACTGGTCCAATAACTTTTTGATAATTGTCATTTGTGCCTCGACTAATTTGTGTAAGCCGAGGTGTAAGCCAATAACATTATGGGATCCTTTATATTTATATAAAAAGTACTTATAGGTACATACAGCAAAACCATCGTAACCTTAGAAAATTTGCGTATGCATGTTCGGATTCGTCTGCACTTGATCGGCGTTTCTTACCAGGTTTGGCTATAATGTACATTCGGAACAGAAAACTACAACCAGAACAGAAGTAGTATTTGCACATTACGGTATTAATGTCAATATAATTAAGCATGTTATCGATTATTTATTACTAGTTAATAACACATCACTCAATTCTACAATAGTCGTTTAACTTAACATTAAACTGAGCAATAATCAATAGCGCACTGAGCCTAAAAACCAACTACTTCTTACTGGTAGTGTACAATCCCTTCCCATGCCTTCTATATTAGCTGCGCAAAGCATACTTTTTCTAAGGTTACAGTGGTTTTACTGTACATATTTGTTGCAGACGCACACCGATTATAGGCAAGCATTCCAAAAAAATCTCATGCGGGTGTTGGAATACTGAAAATTTACTGGCGCTTGGATCCGATGACAAAACTTTCTCCATAAGTAACATTGACGGAGATACATTGAGAATGGTTACTTTGCGAGGGGAACCGTCTGACATTCAATTTTCCGAAATGAAATTGGACGAAAGAATGGGGGGCGAGAACACAGTAATAAAGATGCAGCAAATCCCGAGTAATTTAATTGCGCTTTGACAGGTCAGCTTGGTGGTCTCCAAACGTACTCTGTACCTTTACAACATGATCGATCCAGAAAATCCGGTCGAGCTGGCATTTCAACAGCATTACGGTTCTATTGTGTCATACAAATGGTTTGGTGACGGATACATATTGTTAGGGTTCAGTGCCGGATTTTTCATTGCGATATCTACACATATTAAAGAAGTCGGACAAGAGCTCTTTCAAGTAAAAAATCACAGAAGTAATTTAACAGATATTGCCATATGCAACGTTATTGGGAAAGTTGCTTCCAGTGGCGATAATATGTAAGTCCATCAGATATGTCCCTTAAAGTAGCAGTACCATTTTAACAACCAAAAATGTTCCATAAGTTGTTACTTTTGGAGAGTACTGAACTTTTAGAAAATGCTTCAAATTTACAACTAATAATATTATTCAAATGAAACTGTTCGTTTCTAAAAGCTTTGGGTGCGCTCACCAGGGAAAGCGGTACCTAAAGGCGCGTATACACGGGTCGATTCCAATCGAGCGACTGCGGTCGAACAACTTTAGTTGAAAATGAAAAATAGATCGATCGCGTTTACATGGTTCAATTTAGTTGATCGATAACTTCACGGTGAAAATGACGTCGAGGAGGGAAATAGTAAGTGTGGGGGTGCAACTAATTTGTTGTGCAATGCGAGACCAATTAGTGAAAAACTTAAAAAAGAAGAGGAAGCGACAATGGTGGACGCGACCATGGATTTTGAGACGAGGTGTTCTTGGTGCATCAAACAGTCTTCTACGGGAGTTGGTTGTAGAAGATCCAGAGTCCTATAGAAACCATCTGAGAATGGATGATGAGCACTTTGAAGAAGTCCTACAAAAGATTGCGCCCCTAATCCAAAAAAAAGATACAAATATGCGAGAAGGGCTACCAGCCCGATTAAAATTACAAATTGCACTCCGATTTCTAGCTACTGGTGATAGCTATGCTTCCCTTTCTGTTTTGTATAGAGTACCTAAGTGCTCGATATCACTCTTTTTGTTAGAAGTTTTGGATGCTTGTCGACCGCTGTTGTTTACACATTCGACCACGGGCAGTTGATATGCATTCCACCGTGATCGAACCGAAAAAGTAGACAGGGTTTCTACTTTGATCGAATCGCAATACTGCATCGAACGGCTAGATCGAAATTCGGTTTACACATTCAACTTGTTTTCAATTTACGTTCGATTCAATGGCCGTTCAACGTAGATCTCCTCGTGAAAACGTGCCTTAAAGTATCTGGTGAACGACCCGCGAACTGCGTACTATGTTGTTGGCTTTTACACTCATACAGGGTGTTCATAAATATGATGTAAATACGAAAGGGACTAATTCTTTGGCGTATTTTATGACTAAAAGTTCATAATAAACATAGGTCTGCAAACAAATTGTTACTGATCTACAGGGTGTTATAGTTTCATTGTACCTTTATTTTATACACATATGCAAACACAAGATACAATTTTGAATGCCAACTGTCAAATCTAATAAAAACAAAATATTATCCAAATAAAGCCAGGCCCTACTGGACCATTTTAAAAATTTAATTTTCATTTAGCTAACTATGCAAAATTGAATTTAAGTTTTCTCCATAACTGTCACAGATGCGAGAAAATTACAAGAGACCAACAAGTTTCTAAACAAACTAGAAAATACAGTAAATAGGTATAAAAAAACTTAAAAATCTTATAATTTTAACATCCTGTAGATCGGTAACGAAGCTTTTGCGGATCTATTTACATTATCTTTCAGACATAAAATAAACCAATTAATCCGTATTTCCATCACATTTAGGAACACCATGTACTACATGGTTTTACAACAAACTAAACCTGACGACCCGTTCAGCAAGATCAGGAGCGCTTTTATTTTGAGAGCGGTGAGGGACTGAGGCTTCAGTTTTGTGTAGCCATTATTTTAGTCTCGCTATGTCTATGGAGACGAGTGTGTCTCCTGTCCGTTCTACAATCTATAGGTAGGGAACCCATGTTATACTGCTGTAAAAACTTTCTATTTGGCGCATTTTCCAACTTATGTTGGAAGGTGCTATTATGGCCACTTTTCTGTCCGTCCGTCCGTCTGACACCTTAACTACTCTTATTTAGTTCGTTCTTTTTTGCATTCAGTAGCTCATAGCTCTGGCACCTCAACCAAGATGTTTTTTGAAATTTTAACCAAAGATTCTTCTAGTAATTCAAGCATGTTGCATAGCCAAATTTTCTAGTTTTTTATTTGTTATTTTATGTTGTTTTTTAATTCTTTTTAGCGCATTCTCCAACGAAGTTGGGGGTGCTATTGAAGCCACTTTCTTTGTCCATCCGAGACCTTCACTACTACTAGAGTTTTTGATATATTTAGTTCTTTCTTTTTGAATTCGTTAGCCTATAGGCACTTGAGCCAAGAAAAATCTTGGCGACTAACGTGCACATGCGCAGATCGCGGCATGCCAACGTTCTTATTGATGCTTCTAATAAAGAGAAACATAACATCTGTCTTGGTGGTACAATTTAGCAACAAATTATGAAATATATTTGTTTGTGATGTGCTACGATCGTACTGTTATTTTAAGGGACTTCAGTCATATTAAGTTTGAACAATTACAGTGTGAAAATTCATGACATCACCAATTTACACGAAACTTCAAGCGTATTAACTCTAACACAGGAGACTGGTATCGAACGAATAGATTGGAGTGTTGACGGTCAGTTATTAGCGGTGGGAACGAGAAATGGTTCTCTTAACGTGTACGTCTCAAACATGCCGATTTTATCCGCAGTTTGTGGTTCTAGAATTGCCATTCTGTCAAGCCTTACCGAAGTTACCCTTTACACCTTTAAAATGGATAAAGTAGTGGTACTGTGCCAGCGTAAGTGACGTTCATTTTAAGATTTCAGACGAAATTATCACCTGTACCGATTACGATTGAAACTGAGCCTACCTTTATGGCGGTCGGACCCTATCACTTAGCGACTGGGATGAACAATAGAGCTTGGTTTTACGATTTGACCAAGTCACAAACCCGATTGGAAGATGCACCTCTTTTGCTTCGTGATCGACAGTATCTAGGTGTCGTTACAAGTATATATCTTAACGTAGAGTATGCGTCTGTGTTGTACGAAGGGAAAGTTCAGTTGCACATGGTAGGTACGAAATCAGTTATGTATAAATGCATATTGTGTGTTCGTAGATAGAGCAACCGGAAGTTGATCATGAGGACCGAGAGAGTATAATATTTCCTGATACAAATTCCCCTAATGTTGTTATTAATTGCCATGGAATTACTACAGATTTTCTTATATATGGAACTGATGTAGGTACCTATTCTTAAAGGATGTCATTGTTTTTGTGGATACATATGCACTTTTTTTATGTGCCTCTACATGAACGCATACAAAAACTACTGTCACATTTTAGATTGGTTAGTTTACTTGATGTGAACATGAACTACGCGTGCCAATACAAAGCGCGGATACTGCAGGTGAGAGAGAAGGGAAAACTAAGAGGCAAACTTTATCGCGTTTTTGAGATTTCGCATTCAAAATAAATTGAAAGTTTTCTTATTTTTCTCTTCTCTTTCACCTGCATCCGCGCCTAGTACGTCATTTAAACTTGAGCGTAACTGTGGACGACAACGCTCAAGAGCAAAAAAGGGAGGTACGCTTAAAGTGATTTGGCAACAGAGGATTTGTGGCACCTTTCCTCTCAAAATTTAGAATTGTTGACTCAACAAAAACGTAATAGTTCTATGTGAATTCTCAAGTTTTTGAGTATATTTCTTAAGATTATCCCTTAAGAGCCACTTTTAATGTGTTAACTAAGTTATTGATACATCGACAGCGTTAAGTTTTTAAAATTACAATTAAGGCAAATAGTATAACGGCTTAAACGGACTTAAACGTGATTCTCACTTTCATCACCAAACTCTAAAGGTCCTTTGTGCGAACTATGATGTTAAAACGTTTATTCCATGTTATTCGCGATACAGATTAACACCTCTGGTGGTAGCACATTGTACTAGGTGGGCCAAAAGAAATCATCCTACTGGAAGATGCTCTTATTTTTGCAAATGGCGGCCAATGTCAAATCTGTTTTGTGAACTAGACAGGTTTAGAATACAAGTGAACAAGCCATGGAGCGAGACACTCTCCAAGAACGCGGAATAATCGTGTCTATTTTTTTGCGTAATAATTCGTCTGTGGTGTTAGCGCAGCGCGAATTCCGTCGCCGATTCCTCGGTCGTCCGGCACCGACTGCGCAAACACTGCGCCGTTTGGCCGCCAACCTTGCAGAGTATGGGACCACACGAGACGCTGCCAAAAGTGGCCAGCCCCGGAGGCGTCGCCCGTTCCGCAGAGAATATCGCCGAAATGATGAAAAATGCCATAAAACGAGCCCGTATAGCAATCAATTGTGACGGCGCCCATTTGACAGATATCATCTTCTCGACTTGACCAATAAAATTCTAAAGGTTCAAATAAACATAATTAAAACACAGAATCGAAGTTTTTCATTTAGAAAAAAAATGAGAGCCAAACAACATCGGATGACTTCTTTTGGCCCACCTAGTAATTAATACAAGTGGGAGAAGACCATCGATTTGTTTATGCACAATGGCCAAAAGTAATCACTATTGCAGTGTTTAAAGTTGTATTGAGCAATCGATCAAATTCACCAAAGATGGTACAGAACTAAAACAAACTACACTAAGTATTCAGAATGATGAAAACATTAACAACTATTTAAGAAATGCAAATAATACAAAAAAGAAGTTACTAATTTATAAATGACGAGAAAAAAAGGAAAAAAAAGAATGTAGAAAACTAACAAATCCATACATCTATGGAAAAATGTGAAAGTGCAGATGTTAGTAAACAGGAAAAATATGGAAAGGGTAAAATTCAAAGAACACAAACGCCTTATTATAAAAAATTTGATTTTGCGAATCGGAAGCAAAATTGCAGGTGGCGTTTTTAAAAACAAAGTTATATATTTTTTATATACTTCACATAGAAAGTGTCACCATTAAGCATGTAAAAAAAATTGTATGACAGAGAGGGTCAAAACGTATTTTTGCATCTTTCTCTCTCTTTCTCTTTTGATTTTGAAAAAAAAATCGTCCACTTCAAGTTTCATGTGCTTTTCAAAGAAAACGTTTGGGGAGGTTTAATGTTCTGACGTTTTGGATCCTTGAACTAAGAGGGCGGCGACTAACTGCTGGCTGTTTTTGCTTCAACAGGTTGTGGTCTTTCTCTCTCTGGTGTGTGTCTGGACAGTTTGCAATCTTGTCTAGAATAAAAGTTAACTATTCCTAGCAGGTTACGGAGTATTACATTGAATTGATAGGAACAATTGAATGTTCATTCCTTCTTATGGGCGGATTTTTCTGAATTTTTAAGGGAAGGTCCTGCCTATAAAAGCAAAATGAAATCATTTGTCAAAAAATGGACCTATTGTTGATCGCCTTTGGAAAATATAGAGTGCAGCACATATATTGGATCTTATTTGTGGAGCAAATTTGTATGGTATACTCCTTAATGTAAGTAAACAAAATGGGCGTGCCAAAATCGTACTGCGCATGCGCAATAGTCAACTTTCTTATATGTGGCGCAATTTGATCGAAAGTTTTATGAAATGTTCCTCTAATAAAAGCAAACCAATTGGACGTGATTAAAATCGTACTGCGCATGCGCAGTAGTCCACTTTTTTTATATCTGGAGCAATTTGATCCAAATTTAATGGTAGGTTTCTCTAAAAAACAGCAAACAAAATGAAAGTGCAACAATCTTATTGCGTCGAATATAGATTACACCCAAAAACTGAAAACACAAATGTAAAATTGCTAATTTTTGGTGGTATTTGTGCTAAATATGCTCACTCTAGCGGAGTCTTTACCAAGTAATTCAATGAAAAAGACTAAGAAAAGACCTTTTAGAATATTCCAACAACACTACTACCTTTTCACAACAATAATAATTAAAACAATAATAAAGATGAATGCAAACAAAAACAAACTGTGATAGGTTCTATCTATAGCGCGTTCGCACCTCCAGATGCAGTATGGGGTCTTATGGACTAATTGCCTCTCTTACTCTTCTTTGATAATACTATCCTTGTCTCTGACCGCATTGATGTCAAATTGACATGATTAAATTGAAGTATTAAAACAAAACATAATCTCCTTGTGCTGTCATTGTCACGTTTCTCAAGCATGTACTGTATGTCCATAAGCATCTGGAGGTGCGAACGCGCATAGTTGGATTTTACAATAAATGAAGTTTAGTTGTTCCATATTTAGTTGTTTCTTTCCATTTACTCTTTTTAGCGTATTTTTCTCAAAGTGAAAAATCGCGATTGGTTGCACTTTGACGTCCGTCTGTCCGTCACACGTAATCCTTCTAAACCACTGAACCGATTTTGGCGATATAGGACTCATTTGAAAGGGCTTGGTCCAAGGATTCCGTGCATACTTTATATGTAAACACTACAAATATAAGTAAAATTAACATTTTCAAAATGTTGTTTTGCGCATGCGCAATGCCAACTTTCTTATTTATGAAAGCAGTTAAACGAAATATCATATGTAGGCACCTTGAATGAATAAAACTAATACCGGTTTCAAAATTACTGTTAACGCATGCTGTATGTTTTATTTATGAAGGTATTCAATGAAATTTCTATTGTAGACAATGCGCAATGCTATTTACGAAAGCGTTTATAAAAAGTTCCATATGTAGACACTTCGAATAAAAGTAAAACTAATGCCCATTTGAAAATTTGTATGTATTTGTATACGCTACACTATTTTTCATTAAACTGTATAGACTTCGACGATAGGCGGCTCATTTGAAAGAGACTGGGGTAAGGACCTCGTGCTTACTAGTATTTTTTCCTGGTCTTAGCATTATTAGGAGGAAAAAACGCTCTCGTCATTTATGTTTGCACAATGACTTTTTAAACTTGTTTAAATTCTAGATGGGCCAATTGGTATACTTCTGTATTGAAGATTGGATGGTTGCCAATGCATATAAGCACACTGTTGGAATAAAAAATGTGTATACAGATCCGGCGGGAACACGACTTGTATTTATAGATGTGAAAAGTCAAGCTTACGTATTTAATAATGTAGGTACAGAAGCTCGGAGTATTTGCTTTCATACTACAAAGTTTTTAGGTTACCAATGAAATCGTTACCATACCCGATTTACCAAATAAAATAACTGGGATTATTTGGGATAGTCACTTAGCTGATAGAAATGTATTCATTATTTATAATGAAGTTGAAATTTTAACATATATTTATGTGAAATTGTCAATTTATGGTAATGCATTTGTGTTGTAACTCAAAAGGCTAGAGTTGTCTGTTTCTAGGGTCTGCAGTGAAATGTTTGGGAACGACGAACCTTGTTTCAAAGCAGGTTCCACTGTTTATGTATAGCGGCGATGTGCACTTGGCAAGTTCAGGTGGACAGCTGAGTCAATTAACGTTGTCTACTCATGACACTTCCCATGCTGGGAGTTTGGAACCAGGTAAAAGTGTTGAGGACACCCTTCTAGACAAGTTGCTTGGTTTGCACAGGTAATGAAGTAATTTTTTTGCTCTTGTCTATTGTTTTATTTAGATATGCCGCTGCATGGGAAGTATGTCGACAAGCGAATTCTGGTGTCCATTGGAGAGCACTGGCAAGAAATGCTCTTATACATTTAGATATACATTTAGGTGTTGTACCTAAAATTGATTTGAGCTGTACTGAACTGTGCCATTTCAGCTAAACGGGCATACAAACAATGTGATGATGTTGCGCTTTGTACAGCGTTGTATCAAATTTTGTACATAGAAGACCATAGGTTAATTGCCGGATACGTAGCTATGCTCTTAAATGATTACGACTGTGCGCAACAATGGTTCCTGAGTTCAAGCAATCCAAAAGCTGCACTTGAGATGCGTCGTGATTTATTACAGTGGGATCAAGCCTTGCAATTATCTAAAAAGATGGCGCCTGATCAAGTACCTTACATATCGAGAGAGTATGCTCAACAGTTGGAATTTATGTAAGTGAGACATGTTGAGGCAAAGACATTAGAATCCTGAATATACAAGGTGGGCGGACGAATTTTAAGACTCAAAATTTTAAATTTTATCATACAGGGTTGAAGGTATACTTAATGGACTACCTTTACGCCGTAATTTTCGATCAGATGTAGCGGATCCGCTACGTTAAAAACCTACTTTTGCGGGAGTATAATGTATATGCCATGGTAATCATACATGGAAATTATTCTTCAATCCCTAAAATGTTCAAAGTAGGATTTTCTTATTATCTAAACTTTTCTTGACCGACTGTCAGACATTATAACGGGTGATCAAAAATGAGTGGCTGTTGAGTCGCCTTTTTCCCATGTAAACAAAAATTTCAAAAGGTGACTCGACAGCAACTCATTTTTGATCGCATAGTATTTAACTACTGTCCAATACCAACATTTGACTGGATTAACTTATTTGCATTTTGTTTCAGTGGAAATCATTCCGAAGCATACCTCCATTATGAAAAAGGGTTGCAGGAAAATATTGATCGTGAACAAATTTTCGCATGCAAATGCGGAATAGCTCGAACCTCAATACACTGTAACAACTACAAGCACGGAATAAACATGGCGTTGGAATTAAATAACAAAACGTTATTCAAGGAATGCGCGGAAGCTCTCGAGTTGAAGAATCAAATATCGGACGCGGCCATGTTCTACGAAAAAGCGCAGTTGTATGAAAAGGCGGCGTCGAATTATATCAAATACAAAAATTGGCATAAAGTTGGGGAATTGTTGCCGAACATTAATTCCAATAAGATTCATTTACAATTCGCCAAGGCGAAGGAACTGGAAGGAAAATATGAGGATGCAGCTAATGCGTACTACGATGCCAAAGATTACGATTCGGTGATTCGACTTCAATTAGATTATTTGAATAATCCCGAAACGGCAGTCGAACTTGTTCAGGAAACTAAAAGTTCAGAAGGCGCTAAAATGGTGGCCAGGTTTGTATAATATGTTATACGGAGTGTTTCCAATGTGTCCTAAAAGTGTCTCGTTTGAGTGTGCGAAAGTATACAGGGTCTCACTTTTGAAAAATTTTGGGAATAATTATAAAGAAAAAAAAGTTTTTGTTATTTAACAGACTTTTTTTATTAAGGTTCTTTCAACGTTTGGGTGATTATCCATCGGCAATACGTTTCTTGGTCATGTCCCAATGTAACAGTGAAGCTTTCGAGCTCGCAAGGAAACATGGAAAATTGCAGCTGTATGCCGAAGTATTATTGAGTACACTTTCGGCTGACGAACTGAAACCACAAGACTTCATTAACGTAGCGACACACTTTGAAAATGAAAAAAATAACCTTTTGGCAGGAAAGTACTTCTTTCACGCCCGCGAATATCAGAAGGTACGAATTTTTTTATTTTTAAGTTTTCAAAATAATCGCATTTTAGGCATTAAGGTATTTAATTAAGTCTGCAAAAAATAATTCGGAAGAAAGCGAAGCGTTAACGACTGCAATTGATGTAGTTGCTTCGTCAAATGATGATTCATTAGCTAATGAGTTAATTGAGTATCTGCTCGGAGAAGCAGATGGATTACCAAAAGACGCCAAGTACTTGTTCCGATTGTACATGGCAAGGCGACAGTATAGGGAAGCATCCAAATCGGCCATAATTATCGCTAATGAGGAACAAGTGAATGGAAATTACCGAAATGCTCACGACATACTCTTTAGCATGTACCAAGAACTGAAACATAATAATATTAAAATTCCCCAGGAAATGCACTGGAACCTTATGCTACTGCACAGCTACATTTTAGTGCGATTACATGTACGTAAAGGAGACCATTTGAAGGGCGCCAGAATGTTAATTAGAGTATCAAACAATATTTCCCAATTTCCATCACGTTAGTTCACTTTCAGGTTGGGATTTTTCTCTTTTACAGCCTTTCTTTTTAGATATGGTTCCAATATTAACGTCGACAGTAATCGAGTGTCACAGAGCCGGCTTGAAACATGCAGCATATAATTATGCCGCGATGCTGATTCAAAATTCAGAATATCGGAAGCAGATCGATCCAAAGTATTCGAAGAAAATTGAGGCTGTAGTTAGAAAGCAGCCAAAGAATGGAAAAACTGGCGTTGAAACTGATGCCGCGGAACAGCGCACGCCGTGTCCTTATTGCGACTCACCCTTACCAGAAACCGAGATGTACTGCGAACAGTGTAAAAATAATATTCCTTTCTGCATCGCTACAGTAAGTACATGTTGCAATGGGCACTCAAAGGTTCAATAATGCACAATATTCTCACAATAAGTTTGTCTACCTATAGATAGCATTCTAATTCAGGCCAAAATTTAATTTTCTATGACGTAGTTCCAAATCTAATTTTGAGTCATTACACTTTGCATTATTCAATGGTGACTGACGACTGACCTGCATAGTTTCACATATGTATATCACTTTCTTTTCCCATATTGCTATTTTAAAAAGTTACCCCCATTGTCAATGCTGAGTTAACTATCCACATGTTAATCTTCCTGCCCCCGGGTGATTTTCAATCCTCGTGACCCCGCGTGGAGTGAATGAAAAAGGGAGAGAGCAAATTACGAAACAGGAAATTTCTGTTCTTCAATGCGCTCATCAGAAATAAAAAAATTCTCTCAACACAAACACAGGTGAATTAGTTTTATGGCAATTTGGACAAAAAATACAAAGTATTGTTCGTGTTTCTTTGATTAACAAACTAAGCTACTTTGCAAATGTGATTAGTAAAAATTGCTTACTTTGAATTTGTAGGGTCGTCATGTAGTGAAATCTGATTTTGCGGTATGCCCTGAATGTGAGTTTCCTGCACTACAGTCCGAATTTATCGAGTAAGGTTTTTTTCTTTTTACTTTAGTGCATGCATAATCGAACCATGTTTGTAGCATTCTCGACTTTGAAGATACTTGTCCGATGTGTGGAGAAAAAATTGATCCGAGACGAGTAGTCAAAATTGAAGATACCAAACCATATTTGCGATTAGAGTGATCTCAGTAGTAGCTATTAGTTAAGTTTAATTATTAACACTATCCGTCCAATTACCTATGTGCCGTCCTCAAATGAACTCTATGTTTTGTATTTATTTATTAGATAGTTTAGGTATTTATTATGTGCAATTTATGAACAATATTTTGAGAACGAAAATATATTTATCAATGGAAGCGCGTATTAATATAGTCATCATATTGTGCAGTGAGAAAATCGAGGTTCTCGTTATCTCCACTTAAACAATAAAACCAAACTTTTAAACAACAATATATAATACTAATTGAATTTTTTTAAACTTTCCTAGTAGTTTTTTTCTTAAAACTGAACATAAATGGAATTATTCTTTTCGAATTTAAAAAAAGAAGATCAAATTATTCAATAATCAGTGAAAATAAGTGGTGCAGTTTAATTAACGAATGAATAAATCTGAGCCTGCAAATAAGTGCAAATATTTGTACTTTATTCTCATTTAACCACTCCAAAGTGACGAAAAGTACATTATATAAATTGGCAACAGCCACTTTAGAAAAGTGTCCAACACCAAATAAAATGATTTAAAAGGTAGTTCCGAAATGGTTAAGTACAACGTTAACAAAAACGTTACAATTTTCTTAATCATCTGTGTGGATGTAAAGGTCGATTTACACGCTCAAGCCACTTGCGCAAACTGGTTGCGCAAGCCGGTTTGTGCAAACGAATTGAATAAAAATATCGCCGTTTACACGCTCAGTTCGGTTTGCACAACTGTGAAGTGAGGAATCCAGAATTTTTTTCTAAGTATTTCAGTTTTTGCTGTGTTTTCCATTTTGTAGAGGCTTTAGTGCGACATGGTAAATTCGGACGAAGAAATGATCATGCTTGCCATGACTGCGGTATGCATAATAAAAAAAGCCAAATTGAAAGAGAAAAGGAAATGGTCAAAACCATGGTTGCTAAAAAGAGATACGTTTTCCCATACAAATTTAATAGCTCCCTGTTAACTTCTGGATCCAAAGGTCGCAATTTCTCTACTAATTCCTGATACGCCTGGGATTTAGCATTGCTGTTGCTGTAGGTATTCCCTACTTCTATGAAATCACAAAGATATTCTTTTTCGTTCGGCATTTTGAAACACAACTAATTAATAATGCAACATGAACTATTAAAATAATGAAGTTAAAACACTGCTCGCGGTAACAATTGATTTGGTTGAGTAGAACACGTGGTGGAAGATTACGTCACCAATGCTTCATGCGCATGCTCAAATTGGAACTGAGGTTTGAACATCGTTCAGACGCACAATCTTAACACCAACCGCAAGCCGATTTTCAGTCCGGGACAGACTTTACTCAAGCCAAATTGGCTTGTGCAAACTTCAAACCTGTGTTCAAACTGGTTTGTGCAAATTATTTGAGCGTGTAAACCGACCTTAAGAAAAAACATTACTGTAATAAGCTAGAAAGAAACGCAATAAGAATTATATGAGTGTGGAGAGACATGTTGTTTTAGTTTGTTAGTCTGTCTCACTTGACAGCACGTGAAGTGATTGTACTTTCTTTGTTTTACTTATTTAAGCCAGAGATTTGCCATATCTCTGATTGTTTTTTCTTAACTTAACTCGTTTTTCCTTTGCGATCTTGACGCACTTTCCATCAAGCATGCGAAAATTGTTTAATGATCTTTTAAAAAGTGCCCAAACCCCCAAATCGCAAAATTTGCATCGCGTTTGTCCTTTTGATGTGATTTGTTTAAGCTTTTGGAACAGTAATTTTCTTGTCAACAGCCATACCACGTTGAAAACACCGGTTCTCGTCCGATCACCGAAGTTAAGCAACGTCGGGCGCGGTCAGTACTTGGATGGGTGACCGCTTGGGAACACCGCGTGCCGTTGTCTCTTTTTTTAAAATTTTTGCTCATGTTTATCTATTGACTTTTATTTTAATGGCACGAGGCAGGCAACATATAATTAATAACTGTAATTCCTAATTAGAATTAATTTAGTTTTTATGCATAATAAAATTTTATGGAGTTTTTTTAAGTGAAACCTGGCACAATTTTTGTAGGTTGTACATAGGAAAATAAGGTTCTTTCGAATACCGTAATAAAAATTTTACGTTGCTATTGGAAAAAAAAAAGGTTCGATGCCGTTGCGGCGCTCCAAAATTGTTTAAAAAAATCTGGCCCGTTTTTTTTTTCGTTTCCGTATTCCTAATATACATATCCAAAATTTGAACAAAACTCTTCGATATTACACATTTGATTGCGGATATCTATTATTCATTCATGAAACATCATAAGGAGTCCTATTCGTACCATCCAATCTGAGCCGACGACTTCTATCGAGATTTAACAGTGGTGTGAACATCTGTCCATTTTAACATGAAAGTTGGACGCTCTGCTTGTACCATATATGTATGGCTTGTACGTTTGCACCAAAGTTTCCAACTGTAAGTATAGGGTAAGTCAAAATTGTAGTGGCGGATTGGGGATTCCTAAGATCATCGCAGCTCGGAACTGAGAAGTGCAAAATAAATTGATTTTCCATCCTTAATAAACCGAGAAGCACTGGAACTATTTATTATTATATAGGTACTATAGATAGTATATTTAAATTTGTGATAGTACTGCGTGTAGTGATGAGTATTTCGCCAACGTTTACAAATTTATACTGACAATATCCACAACGCTAGTACAATGTTGTAAAGTTCCTGAGGTGGTACTGATGGAAATATTGACTTACTCTGTACTTACAGTTGGCAACTCTGGCAAAAATCTACGAGCAGAGCCACCTACCTTTCAAGTCGAAACGATGAACGTCTCGCTGCACTTTTGAATTTGGATGGCAGTCGGCTCGTTATGGGTGGCAGCGTGGCACCAAGGATGCTATATTATATTATATTATATTTTGAATATGTCTCGGGTCAAAGTGGGACAATACATCACTCCCATGGAGAGCGCAGTAATACCATGCCAACCAACGTCCACGTACCTAGGATGCAAAATAGACGATAACCTCTCCTGGAACTCTCATCTGGATCACGTTCGTAGCAAATTAAACAAGGCATACTACCTAATATCTCGTATTAGGAACCAAATTTGACACCACACACATTATTGAAGTGTATTACGCAGTAGTGTATTCCCATTTAAGTTACAACATGATGTGTTGGGGTGCTAGTATACCGAAGTAAATAGGATATTTGTTTTACAAAAACGTGTAATCAGATTGATATTCAATCTGCATTACTTACAAACTTGTAGAGACACGTTTAAAAAATTCAAAATTTTACCTCTCCCCTGTATATATACATCCTAAAATTATTAATGTACATGCGCTCGCACTCAGATAGTTTCCGTAGAGTAGGAAGTACACACAATTATAACACAAGAGGAAAAAACAAAATATTAATTCATAAACACCATTATCAGTATTATAAAAAATCACCCTATTATATGGCCTCTAAATTGTATAATTTGCTACCCCAGGACCTGACAAACTGTGATATTAAACAATTTAAATCTCTCATCAAGACTGCTCTCCAGAAAAATGCTTTTTATTCGATTCAAGAGTTCATATACACTTTTATACTTCTAGGCTATAGTTGATGTAATACACACTTTGTTTGTCCAATTGTTATACATATTATTGTTTGTTAATTTTGACTTATCGATGATTGTAATGACGATCGAATGATTAAATTATTATTATTATTATTATTATTATTATTATATAGCATCCTTGGGTGGCACGAATGAATTCAGTACAAAAACACATCAAAATACCTGTACAATCAATTGAGATAACACTGTTGTTGGTTCAAAATCGTGTATATTGTTAGACGATTAGAGTTTTGTACAATACAACTCGTAAAATAATAAATGGCATGTACATAGGAAACATGTAAATGGTGTGGCTCTACTTTAGCCTTTAGTTAACATAATTTAAGTGTACGTGTGAGAATGCACGGATTCATGTGAAAATCGATTGTCGCTCAAGCAGAACATAATTTAAATAGAGGAAATGTTAATGAGAGGACCCCCACTCGCATTGCTAAGATGTTAAGAACTACAATCCGCACGAGACGAGTAGGCAACAGATACAGCGAAAGATCGAACTGTATTAGGTACCTACTCCACGGAGACAGAATGACCCACTCGCACACACAAACATCGAAACATCAAATAAGAGAGCCCCCCTTCGTATAGCTAACGCACAAGAACTGCAGCGCGCCACGAATCAGAAAGTAACAGATACAGCGAACAATCAAACTGTATTAGGTACTTCCCTCACGGAATAGTTACGGGTCAATCGAACAGAGCAACATCGCACTGATAATCAACTCCTCGTGAATACAGAAATAAATACTTAATTAAACAAAATAATCATCTGTACAGTATAACAAACACGATTCATCTAACGGTACTCAAAACAAAGGCATGGAGTACGCCATGATTCAGATATCGTAGTTTATACAAAATCACCAAAACATAAATAATATCAAATTGTGGCAAGAAATTCAATGATTAAATAGCTAGTACAAGAAAGAATAAAATGGTTACTACCTGTAATTACACCTACAAAACACCACCACCAAAATAATCAAGAATAAAAAAACCGGGAACGCGTGATGTCTTCAGTCGACCTCGTCGCCATCTTCCCCAGAACAAAAAACTTAGAAGGGAAACGTAAACGGGAACAACTGAGTACAAATGGAATTAGTTTGGAGAACATTCAATAGATGGCGCATAGTTAGCGTGCGTGTTAAAGTTACTAAATCTAGTGACTTTAGTACGTGTCGCCATTATGACAGTTGAATTTTGAATTTTGATTGACGGCTTATTGTGCTTTAAGTATAATTACTATTCATTATTTACAATGAATTATGCATATACAAATCGAAAACGTAAATGTTGTGTGACAAATTGTGAAGACGTTTCCCAAAAATGGAGCCCGATGTTTTTATAGAATTGGTTTAGAATATAATGTGGAAGAAATTTACACAAAAGTTTTTGGTTTGTGAACATCATTTTTCTGGTTGCGCTTTAGAACCTGGAACACGAAGAGGTTTAAAGCGTGTGGCAGTTCGCACATTATTATCTTTAGCAGGTAACACTAATTGAATTGTAATAAATTGCTACATATTTTGTTTTTAGAACAATCTTGAGAGTATCATAAAGCAGAGTTCCATGAAGT